GGGGCGAAAGAGAGAGAGAGTGGCGAGAGGGGGGTGGAAAGAAAGAGAGAGAGTGGCGAGAGGGGGGGCGGAAAGAGAGAGGGGGGAGAGAGAGTACCTGCTCCTTCCTTCGGGGCTGGGGAGGGAGGGAGAGACAGAAGCCAGCGGGCAGGCGGGGAAGGACCGGGCTCGCCGCCGCCTTCTCATCGGAGCTGGCAGGCAGGCAAGGCAGGCACGCAGGGCGGGCGGGGAGGGGAAGGACCGGCCTCTCCGCCACCGCCTCGGAGCCGGGCGGGCGGGGGGAGGACCGGCCTCGCCGCCGCCTCCTCGGGACATCTATATCCATAGATGTGTCTTTTCCCTTTTGAATAGCATTGTTGGAAGTACATTCTTCAAGCAAAGATTTGTTTGGGCACTATCGGAACCTTTCATAGATCTATGTGTTTTCTAGGAATTGTGTTTTATTAGTGTAGCGCTCTCTCTCGCTCTCTCGGCTTTCTAAGAGTTGAGGCTGCCAGATTAAAGAAGCTATTTATAGGATAATCCAGACTCCTCAGCGATTCAAGGCTTTACTGTGCAGACCTTAAAATTTCATCTTCATGTTGACACTAATGAACAATAACAGTCACCTCTCTTAGTCTGTGGCCATCTGGTTGCTTGGAGAAATATGCGATGTATCAGTAGGATAAGTCAGGTTTCCTGTCTCTTGAAAAAAATTGCCCGACAAATTGTTTTCTATCTGTCTCCTCAGATCCTTTATTAGACTTCTGAAGTCTCCGCATCCTCAAATGTTCAGGGTGGTGAGCAAAATTTAACATAATATAGCATTTTAATATATATCCATCTGTAGTTTAAACAGTATGTTAAATGTTGCTAACCACCCTAAACATTTGAGGAACAATTTCAAGTAGATGAGTATCTTTTCCATGGATGTACCTCTAAAATAACCCTGTGGGGTGAATTCTGGAAGATCTCTGAATTTGTCCTCCCATCAGTGAGAGCGGGCAGCACTGCCACTAAGGGCCTCACAATCAGCATAAACTAATTGTTCCCTCATTTCATACTAACACCAAAATTTTGCCCGAAGAAGGTATGAGCAAACATATCTTGGTTTGCACTTTTATTCTTCACCGGTCAGGATAGCTGGAGTTCAACAGGTAACTCCAGGGCTCTTTTTGGGCAGGAATGTACAGGAATGGAGTTCCGGCTGGCTCCTGAGTTGGCCACGCCCAGCAGGAACTCATTAGCATAATAGGCCACACCCAACAGCAGAAACTCATTAGGATTGGCTACATTAGGGGTGTGTGGCCTAACATGCAAAGAAGTTCCTGCTACAAAAAAAGCTCTGGATTTTGACAACAAACAAGGTAAACAGAATAAGAAGCAAAAGGTTGGTGTGGCTGGATGACCACACTTCTGGTAACATGGGGGTGCGGCCTAATATGCTAATGAGTGGTGCTGTCAGGGGTGTGGCCCAATATGCTAATGGATTTCTGCTATTGGGTGTGGCCTATTATGCTAATGAGTTCCTGCTGGGCTTTTTCTTTAAAAAAAAAGCCCTGGGTAACTCACTCTTTACTTGCTTTTCTCTGCTCCTTCTGATACCATTATGGTTGGTAAACTGAGAGCCACTGGTGGGATCCAGTGTAAGATTTCTGCAAGTAGAAGGGGGGAGATTTTTTTTATCATTTCCCCTCATGCTGTTCCTGGAGGTGGGAATCCCATCTCTGTTAGGAGTAACAGTCAGCATTTTAGGCTGCAGGGTGACAGGGGAGGTGGGACATCCTGTTCTGCTGATGGAAAACCAACCAACCTGGTACAGGGGCTACAGAGTTGAGTTCAGACGTGGGAAACCAAAGTACAACCCCCTGCTCAGCTGTGAAATACACTTGTTGGCCTTGGCAAGTTCCTTACGCCGGGAGATAAATTACCTCCCAGTGGGGTTGTCAACCTCAAGGTGGTATCTGGAGATCTCCTGGGATTACACTGATCTCCAGGCGACAGAGATCAGTTCACCGGGAGAAAGTGGCCACTTTGGAAGGTGGACTCTGCGGCATTATATACCCCATTGAAGTCCTTCCCCTCCCCAACCCCCCAACCCCAAAATCTTCAGTTATTTCCCAAGCTGGAACTGGCAACCCTACAGGATATTCTGAGCTCTTTGGAAAGGGGGCTGGATTCAGATATGAACAATAAACCATATGTAAGTGTATTTAGTCATGAGCAATGCTCCCTCTAAGCTGTGGAGTCTTGCGAGCAAAAATTCTACTTTGTGAGCTACTGGCATTGAAGTTGTGAGCGAGTGATTTGGCTGCTGCATCAATTAGTCTGCTCTGGAGCCATCCCTTCCTGAGCTGTGACAAAAATGTGTGAGCCGGAGGCTAAAAAAACTGTGAGCTAGCTCACACTAACCCAGCTTAGAGGGAACACTGGTCATGAGAGGTCCTTTCTCAATAGAAGAGTGGAGCCTTGTGTGACCCACAGACAATACATATCTTTACAACCCTTGCTGTCTCGTTCGTTTGTACGATTTGCATTGACTCACCGGACTTTTCTTAATGTTTGTTTCAGAGGATGGACAGACTCCATATACCTGCGTTTACGCAAAAGAAACCGCTGCAACCATAGAGATTACCAGAATATTTCTCAAAATGGTAATTCAGATTCACTTTCCCTGCTATACTGGGGTATATGCCTGCCCTAGTTTTATGACCCATTTAACTTCTTTGCTTGCTTGTTCGCATTATTGCCGGTGGCATTTTTCAATTTATGGAAAGCAATAGGGCTGAGATGAAAGGTCAGAGCCAAACCTTTAGGATCAGAATAAGGGATGGGGGTGTCCTAGAAACCCCCCCCCCTTCTTATGTCTTTTGTTTTTTGTCCCTTACCTGGCATTAGTTCTCCTCCACACAGAGCTTTCTTAATGTGAATACACAGCCAATAAGATTTGGCTTTCTGTCAAGATCTGAAGCCAAAACTGAGTGAGGGGATTGCTTCCCACCCTCACTCTGGCATTTTTGCTGAAAGAATAGAGAAAAGGGTAGCACTTGGCAGCAATGGCCATCACAGATAAGCAATTGTCGTCATTGATAAGTGGAATTAATGTTTCGCCCCTGTTCACATTGCTCAGACAAATCTGCAAACTAAGCAGCTAAACTGGGGGTGGGGGGAGCTTTGGGGCTTGGCTTACAGCTTTTAGCTCATGAGAAATGTCAGCCAGGGCTAGAGCCTGAAAGAGGAGTGCTCGGGCCAGTGTTGCCATTCAGAGCTACTCTAGGCTGCTATTCAGAAATGTCTGCTCTTCTCTAGCCCTTTTATTTTTGGAGGCATAAGGGGAAATGTGCAGATAATGTGCAGGAGTAAACCTTCTTCCAGCTTCTGAGATTGTGGCTGGTGACTGACTCATACTTGGTACTTTTAAAAAAATAAATCTTGTTTTAATTTTAGCCCATTATCTGATGAAAAATTAACCTTAAAGATATTAGGGGTATTTCCAGTTAGGTCGTTGCAATGTTGCATGACGCCCATCTCGAAGCACAAATGTTCCTTTAAATTAATGATGGGCCAGCATTTCAACCCATGATCCAGGGGTGGTGGTGGAGAGTAGTTTCCATTAACTGTGGCCTAAAACTATTGGGCTGAATCCAACCGGCTTTTTCCCGGTGAAAGAAGAAGGAGGTGTCCTCTTTGACCATTAAAAACATGTTATGCCAATGATCATGGGACTTGCGTGTATGAAAGCCATGGGAGAGGGGAAAGAAATGGGAGCTATACTGACTGGAAACGCTGGCTGGACCCAAAGTTGAGACCCTTGGAGTGCGCACAAGTGAAATATGGCAAGGAGATGTACCGGTGGCATGGTGCATTCCAGAAAACATCCTGCTTTTAAAGTTTGTATTTTGCAAAAGGCTTGGCATACTCAACTCTCCAACTTCCCTCCATGCTAATTAAACATTGGCTTGGCGTATCCGTTGCTCAGATGGTGCGGGTGCTGCTTCCTTCTCTGACTGCATCCTGTGGTGCTTTGAAACGATCCAACTGTGAGGAGAGGGGCACGTAGGAAGCCCCCTCCCTGGAGCATATCCTCCTTTAGGTGAAGCCAACACTGTGGGCAGGACAATTTCCCATGTGATCTGCCCCTCTCCTGTGATATTTTTCATCTCTTACAAATCTGTGTGCACTGAACCTACTTGTAAAAATAGCATTTGGAATGCCTCCATCTTTTGAGATGCACATTTGGAATTGTGGAAGTGAAGAGTTTGGCTTGACAGATGGACCATTAAAAATAGTACCAATCTCTCCAAAAGTCACTACTCTTTCTGGATGGTGTTATGGACCAGGAGACAAGAAGGTGGTAGATGAAGCTTTTGCCATGGCGTCTTTGACATGACCCCGGCCATGTCTTTGTTTGGGTTAACAATCAATGAGGAATCTTTCTGATGAAGCACTTTCTTTTCATGCTTGCAGTTTACAGGACTTGCAGGCATTCAAAGAAACAATATTTTGCACTTTTGCATATTAGTGGGAATGTTTCAGCAACTCCTTGAGAGCTTTTTGTGAGAGTTCCAAGCCCTCAACATACTATATCTTATTGTTCTTCATTATAGCTTATTGTTTTCTATTATTGTTCTTACTGTAAGGCAGACCAGCATCATTCCTTTGCAAATCCAGCAACAGTTAATAGTTGATTCTTCACCAAAAAAAAAATGACATGCATTTTTTTAAAAAAACTGGCAAATCTATCAACAACTTATTAAAGAGCCAGCATGCTGTAGCAGTTAGGAACTGGAAGACCTAGTCTGAGTCCCCGCTCTGCCGCTGAAGCTAATGGGGAGACCTTGGGCCCACCACGCTCTCGGCTTAACCCATTCCACAGGATTGTTGTTGTGTGACAATAAAATGGTGCCAGGAAGAACAGTGTCCTACGCTGCCTTGGATCCCCTTTGGGGAGAAAAGTGGGGTCTGGAGATCTAAATGACAAATAATTTTGCATTCAGATTTTTAAACCTGAAATTGTAGAATGGTTAATATTTTTGAAATTTTTGTTTCCATTCCTGGCTAACCTGCTAAATTAAACCCTGTGACCAGTGGGATATGAATGAATGAATGAATGAATGAATGAATGAATGAATGAACATTTACTTGCTGTCAAAGACCGTTATTCATAGGAATACATTCCTATACAGCCAAAGCGATTCATTCCAGCACAGAAGCAGTGGGATATGGTTAGTCAATAAATACACTCTGTCACCTGAACAGTGTACCAAAATAACCAAGATGGGCCAATGCCTAGTTGAAGGAGAAAGGTTCTCAAGGAGGTCAAGGCAGAGAAGAAACGGGGGTCCCAAGGGCTCAAAATACCTACCGCTAGCCCTGACCGCCAACTAGAATATTGGTGCTGTTAATTTAGGGTTGCCAAACCCCCGGTCCAGGTGGGGGTTCCCCCAATTTTTGAGGCTTCAGTCTGCTGGTAGCCAGCTGGCTGGTGGGGGAAGCCCCACCCTCAAACAGGGACGTCACCCGGCGATGTCCCCAACATGATGACATCATCCACAAGTGATGTCATCATGTCAGGGACGTCAGGGGTGATGCTCTAGTTTTTGGGCAAACAGTTTCATTGTGGCCCAGAAAATCCTGACAAGCAGGCTGGAGCCCCCCACCGGCAGCCAGTAAGGACCTAGCAACCCTAGCTGTAGTGAAAGCTGAGAAGAGATTGAAATGCTGATGATGTAAAGCACTGTATAAATGACTGTAGTTAATAATGCCTTCTCCCTTATGAACTTACCTTTCCACTCCAGTCATCTTCAGAGCTTTATTTTGGGTGCCCCTGGCATCTGAAGCTGGACACATGGCAACCCAAGAAAGGGGCTTCTTGGTCAAGGCACTGAAATGTTGGAACTCCCTCCACAGGGAGATTTGTTTGTCTCTGAAAAGTACGCAAACAGAGAGTGATTTCAGCAAAGCGTACTTTATTCTATCCGGAACAAGACGACTTTGGCCGGCTTGCAGGCCGGCTTATATCCCCCGAGAAACTGCCACCCAAAACACCCCCCTACTTCCCTATAGGTTATTTACAGTGGCCGAGGGTCCCATAGGCTCTCGGCCGGGAACCTAGCCCCCTGATTGGAGCAGGCTAGGATCCGCATAGTCCATTGTCTCTTCGAGTGAAGCTCTGCATTTGTCTCTGGACTTGTCTGGACTTGTCTGGACTGGATACATTACAGTCTCCCTCAATTGTTGTATTCTGCCAGTGGGTGAAGACTTTTTTATTTAGTGTACCCCTAGTAACTCTTCTTGGCCCTCCTCCCTGGTTGTGTTGTTATGCATGTTTGTATGTCTTTATGTTTTATTTTAAACACTGGCTTAATGTTTTAGTGTTGGGTGGAAAGGTGGCGTAGAAATGTTTTAGACAAATAAATAAGCATACAGATCTTTACAGAGTTCAGATCTAGGGTTGCCAGGCCCCACGTCCCAGTGGGGGTTCTCTCGCTTTTGGGGGCTTCGATCCACCACTAGCCACCTGACTGGCGGGGGAAATTCCACCCCCAAACAGGAATGTTGTTGCATGACATTCCCAATGCAATAACATCACTTCCGGGCTCTTGTTCTTTTAAGTGTCCGCAAGCATTTCTTTTTGGAAGTGGGTAACAAATACTTTAAATAAATAATACGCGTAGGTTCCCAGCCCTGTTTCACTATAGAGTCCTCTCCAAGTTGTAATTCAGCACTGCATTCCTATCACAGATGATCAATGGACACTCTTCCTGAATTCTCTTCCACTTCACTTTATACAGAGGCGTCTCACCTATTCTTTTGGAGCTTAATGTAACATCTTCAATCCCGACAGTTCGTGTTCTGTATCTGCTAATGATGCTCCAGCCCATTGAACATTGGGAAAGTATTTCATGGGGCCATTAGAAGGAGGAAATGTTATCTTAATCTTGCATGCCTGGGGAGTCAAAGACTCTGTGGATTCTGTCAGGGAAATCAGAAGCCTTTTGTCTTTGTGTCATTAAATTTTATACTTCCTTTATGGCTTTGGGGAGCAAAAGGTTCATTAAGCAACATGATAAGGCTAGCTTGCAGCCAGATAATTCCATCATGTCTGCCAATATCCTTTCTCATTCCTGCACATTCTGCTCTGTGCCAAGTCTTTATCCACCCAGGGCTAACCATGGAGGACCACAAAGGTCACCACACACCCCAGTCTCATAAGAATTCCCTAAACTCTTTATTATTGTTGTTGTTGTTGTTGTTGTTATTGTTATACTGTAGGTAGGGTTGTCAACTCTGGGTGGCAAAATTCTGGACATTTGGGGTCAGAACCTGGGAAGCGTGGGGTTTGGGCAGGGGAGGGACCTCAGCAGGGTATAATTCCACAGAGCCCACCTTTCAAAGCAGCCATTTTCTCCAGGGGAGCTGATCTCTGTCTTCTGGAATCCAGTTGGAATTCTGGGAAAACACTACCTGGAGACTGGCAACCCTAGGTGTACCCCATGGAGTGTTGCCATGGGCTTTCCACCCACACAGCACAACTTTTTCGCCTCCCTCTCTGTCTGCATCCGAAATGACAGGGGTGCCCCAGGAACACACTTTTGGGGGGCTTTTGGGCTGCGGCAGGAAGGCGAGGAGAGAAAGTTGCATTCCGTGGGTGGAAATTGTTCTCTGTGTGGAAAACGCTCTGTGGGATCCACCCCATTTTTAACCAAAATACCTACCGTAGAAAACCCAGCGCAAACGTGCCCCTGGTGTTGTAGGACATGTTTGGGTCCATATATCTGCCTCGCTTCTCCCAGCAGCTCCTCCTCTCCTTACTTTCCAATAGAGAGGTTCAGTTGATAGTGTTCCTTTCTAGGCTGGGGTTTGGTTGCTTTGAACAGACAAATATATATATTGGGGGTCGCGGTGGCTCAGAGGTTAAGATGCTGAGCGGCAGACGGGAAGGTCTGTAGCTCGGCATTTCGAGACCCTAGTGCCGTGTGACGGAGTGAGCTCCCGTCTCCTGCCAACCTAGCAGTTCGGAAGCAAGAAATTGCAAGTATTTAAATAGGTACCGCTTCGGAGACAAGTTAACAGCATTCCTTGTGCCTCAACGTTTAGTCATGCCGGCCACATGACCACGGAAACGTCTTCGGACAGCACTGGCTCTTTGGCTTGGAAATGGAGATGAGCACTGCCCCCTGGAGTCAGATTTGATTAGCTTTAGAGCAAGGGAAACCTGCCTGCCTGCCTGCCTATCATCCATCTATCTATCTATCTATCTATCTATCTATCTATCTATCTATCTATCTATCATCTATCTATCTATCTATCTATCATCTATCTATCATCTATCTATCTATCTATCTATATCTATCAATCTATCAATCTATCAATCATCTATCATCTATCATCTATCATCTATCATCTATCATCTATCATCTACCTACCTACCTACCTACCTACCTACCTATCTATCTATCTATCTATCTATCTATCTATCATCTCCCCTGCTTCTCCATCTTTCAGGTCAGAGTGTCCAGTGCTGGAAACACTCCTCCTTCTCATACCACACATCATGTTGGCCTTTGTCCAGGAAAAACAACCTAAGTTTAAGTCCCATTGCAATGAGTGGGTCTTTAATTAATTATGATTAATTTACCCCAAAAATTTCATTAGGGCTTTCATTAGATTAGGGCCTTTTCTGATAGTTAGCTTGTTAACTCAGTGGTGTTAGATTTTCTCTTTTTAAATCTCCTGTGGTAATTTAGGTGCCTCTTCAAAAGGCCTTTGGAATTTGGTTCAAACGTAAGTAAGTAAATGGCATTTTAATATTTTCTTCTAGAGTGAAAAAGATACTTGGAGAGATATCAGCATTACCCAGATCCAGCCATTTCAGAATATGAATAGCTCATAGTACTTGAATATGTTACAAAGTCATTTCCCTAAAATGGTACTCTGCTACTCAAAATGTAAAATATACCATTTAAGTCCAGGTCATGGATGCCAACGAGAACTCAGACAGTTTATATTCTGTTGACCTTCTGAGCTCCTGGCAAATGGGCCAAAAAACCTTTCTCCCGCTGTGTTAAGTGAAAATTAATTAGTTTGCATTTAGTACAGAGGTTTGTGGGAGAAATGTTTCTCCTCACCATAAGCTACAAAGGTTGAAATGAATAAAGGCAGCAGGGGTGGGGTGGGGGTGGAGGGAGAATACTTGAACATCTTGAAAAGCTGTAGGCTATCTGGATTGGAGAGCTTTCCAGAAGTTGGTCAGACAAGCTTGGGAATGTTGCCGTTCCTTTCCCCCCCAATGTTTTAGAGCTTTTCTGTTGCTTCATTGAGATTAATTTGACCTTAATCTCCAAACAATAACAATAAAAAGACTCAAACACAAAGCATATTCCGTGCTTGAAAATAAATGTTTCACACTGCAAGTTACTTTAAAAAAAGAGAGCCAGTCTATTACTCCACAAACAGACACACACACACTATTCTTCAATAGTGCTTGGTGTAGTGGTTAAGTGCGCGGACTCTAATCTGGGAGAACCGGGTTTGATTCCCCACTCCTCCACTTGCACCTGGCTGGACGACCTTGGGCAAGCCGTAGTTCTGGCACAGCTGTTCTTGAAAAAAGGGCAGTTTCTGTCAAGAGCTCTCTCAGCCCCACCCACCTCACAGGGTGTCTGTTGTGGGGGAGGGGAAGGGAAAGGAGTTTGTAAGCCGCTCTGAGACTCCTTTGGGTAGTGAAGGGCGGGGTATAAATCCAATCTCTTCTCTTCTTCTTCTTGTTCTCACTAACTTCTGAACAGAGCTGAAACATGTTTTCCTATCACTTGCTAGAACACCTCAGTGTTTGACCAACGCCATCACCCTTGGGGGAAAATAATTAAAATGGTTACTCCTCTGTTAGATGCATTTGTTCTTCCTGACTTCGGTCCAGCGTTGTTCGCGACCACGATATGGAGGCTTGTTCTTCTGATCCATTTCAGTTTTTCATGATGAGCACTGATATTTACCACTGTTTGTTTTTTTCATTTCCGGGCTGGCTCGTAGTCAGAAGTTCGACAAGCCTGTGATAGTTACCTACGCAATGGTTGGAAATGACGTCTGCAATGGGTGAGGCTTCACTCCCTCTGCACAGGGAATGAAAGTTCTGTAAGGGGAGGGGGGTAGGTATCTCTAGCAGAGAATTTTTAGGGCTCTTGGAAGAAGAACCTGCTGTTGAGTCACAACCAACTCATGATGACCTCACCCAAGAGGGCAATTCAGGCAAGAGATGGGCAGAGGTGACTTGCATTGCCTTCCTCTGCATAGCAACCCCGGTCTTCGTTGGTGGCCTCCCATTCAAGGACTGGCCATGACTGACCCTGCTTAGTTCCCAAGCCCTGAGAAGCTTGGGCTAAACTGGGTTATTCAAGCTGCTATGCTCTTTTACCAGGTTAGAATTCCTACAGTTCTTTGAGGGACTGAGCAATCCATGGCAGCCAGATAGGTATAAAACTGATATAAGTTTGTAGTGCACATGTACACTACATAATCACTCATATAACATCCTTAGAATAATTTATATTAACCTACTGGATCCCATCAGTAGGTTAATATCCAAGCTAGGCTGGAAATGAAAAACGTGTGTGTGTGCAGTTGTGAGCATTTATGCAGTCGAGTGTGTTTTGTTAACATCTCAATCCTTCTTTTTAAAAAATATCTGTTGCCATTTATTAACATTTTTGCAGCAATTCCACTAATTTTTCTCATGCTAAACCTGGTTACACCAGCCCCTCTTTTAAACTTTGGTCCAATTCACACATTACAAAGTCCACCTGTCCCTCCTGTCTCCTTATCAGTCAGATATCCTCTGGGACTTCCTCTTAGAGCTTCACTCCCATGTACATGTGGGAACCACGTCAGATCACAACCAAAGAGGGGACTTAAGACTTCACCCTGCACACTGTTTTCCTGAACTGAAGTGGCCTTTGGGAACAGCTTACTGGGGGCTACACCCTGAACTTAAGGGCTACACTTCGGGGCTGTTTCAAGTCAGGAAATAGTGTGGGAAGAAGGCTTAAACCCCCTGACCCCAGACAACATGGTCCCAATCTGGATCAGGCCCATGTATGCCTGGCAATTAGGTTCCAAGCACAGAACTCCCAGAGTATGTCTGACACACAAGACCTGGGGTGTTCACAATGGGGACATGAGTGAAATGTTCCTTTTTGCTAGGAAATCAGGAATGGAGTTACTCATGCAGATTCCTGCTGTTAGGTTCACCCAGCAGAGATGGGAGGGGGGTGTTCAACACAACATCCATTTATTAGCAAGAAGATACAGGGATGGGAACAACTGTTTCCAGGACAAGTGAGCTCATTGTAATTCTAACTAATAAAAAGAACTAACAAGCAGGGATTCTACCCCATGACACTAAACCAACACATGCAAATATCAGAGGGAGGAAACAGACTGTTCCATTGTAACACATACAATAAATACACCACAGAGAGGACTTTACTACATTTAAATTGACCCTTAGTGATCCATAATACCGTGATTTATGGTGATGTATTGTTGCAGAGGGCTATACACATGCACAGGCACCAGATCAGCTCTAGTTCTTTTAGGGTAAAGGGACCCTAAAACCAAAATTGGGGTCACACTGCATTGAACAGATGATGAAGAAGAAGAGATTGGATTTATACCCCGCCCTTCACTACCCGAAGGAGTCTCAAGGCGGTTTACAATCCCTTTCCCTCCCCAGAACAGACACCCTATGAGGTAGGTGGGGCTGAGAGAGTTCTTGTGAGAGAACCTCTTATGAGAGAACAGCCCTAAAAGAACTTGTGACTGACACAAGATCACACCAGCCACTGCATGGGAAGGAGTGGACAATCAAACCTGGTTCTCCCAGATTAGAGTCCACGCTCTTAACCACTACACTAAACTGGCTCTACACCAAAATGGCAACCACAGTTGGATATGTATCCTCACCTGCATTTGTATGTGCATTTGCTTTGTGCTCACAGATCCTAACTAAGTATGTTATGGATAGGGAAACCTTCTTATGCATATAGATCTGCCTAGCTGGATTGGGCATCCATGTTTCTTATTTTGGTTGGATCTAGGGTTGCCAGCCTCCAGGTGGGGCCTGAGGATCTCCCGCTTTTACAACTGATCTCCGGCTGACAGAGATCAGCTCCCCTGGAGAAAATGGCTGCTTTGAAGGGTTGACTCTGTGGCATTGTACCATGCTGAGGCCCCTCCCCTCCCCAAACCCCGCCCTCTCCCGGATCCACCCCCCAAACTCTCCAGGTATTTTCCAACCCAGACCTGGCAACCCTAGTTGGATCACTCCCTAAGTCAGCGATCCCCAACATGGCGCCCATGTCTGATGTAACGCCGTCCAAGGTGTTTCTTGATGTCCACTTGCTTCTTTCTGAAAAACACAACATGCCCAAAGCAAAGAACCTGTCTTGGTTTTCTTCCACCTCATTGGAAACAGAAGGTAATTCAGAAGAACCAAGGAGACATCACCTTTGGGTATGCAGAGATTAATCGTTTGGAAACAGTGAGCCCTATCATTGGAGTGTGTTTGGCTTAGAACCTCCCGGCATTACATAAGAACATAACAGAAGCCATGTTGTTATTTGTAATTGCATCCCATGGCAGCCATTTTGTGATTGGTCCCATCTCCCATGGCAGCCATCTTGCCCTGTTACCCCCTATCCATTCTCAAAATTCCAAAAGTGCCCACAGGCAGAGCAAGGCTGGAGATCCCTGACAGAAGCTCATATGTGCCAGTGAAAACAAGTCACTGGAAAATTCCAATAAGGAATTCAAACAGCTGTTGTGGCTGACATTTCCACAACAAAATGGACATGTGAACAAGAATTCATTTTTCTACATCTTTCAACATCTTGCAAAAAATCCTTGAGACACTTCATGAATTTTTGTGTGGAGATCCCCACCTTCGCTTCTTTTTACGTAGGTTGCAGCTTCCTAATGATGAATGGGGAAGTTAGCTCCCCTCCCCGTCTCAAATGTTACCACAGAGCAAGTCTTCTGTCACTCACACTTCACAAACACCCACCCGGGCTGTGCTGGAAACAAACTACTGATACCCACTATATGAATGGCCTGCCATCTACTCAGTTTCATAAGACAGAAGGCAAATTGCCAGCAATTACTGCAACTAGAGATGCCTGGCTCACTTTAGGACGCCAACTTAAATTTCATTCCTGTTCTTATTCCAAATTGACATTAAAGAAAAATTCTGTGCTCAAAATAGCAAAACATCTTTCGTGTGGGAATTTTCTATACGAATATGAAGTTTCTAGATTTCTCTGCACTGCAGGAGAAATATAATCCTTCCTCCCAATAAGCCACATTGCAAAAAACCTCCACTTTTTATATCTACTCATCTTTCCATTTTGCCCCATGGACTGCAGAGTTTCTAATATGCTCTGATTTTGAAGAGAGAGGCAGGAAGGCCACAAAGCTTGACACACGCACACACACACCCGCCCTCAATATTCAGACCTGTTTGGAACATTTTCAGTCCTCATCAGACTGATTTTTGAGGATTCCCCACACTTTTTGGTTAATATACAAAGTCATTTATTTATTTATTTATTTATTTATTTATTTATTTAGATTTATAAATTGATCAATCCCTGAGAACTCAGGGCTCTGAGCAATAAACAACAACAAAATACATATCATATTAAATCATATCATATTACATATCATAATATTACATATCATATTAAATCATATTAAATAAACATTTTTTAAAAATCTACATTTTGGGGGAGACCTTGAGTGCATAAAAACCTCCACACTACGGCCAGGCAGCTTACCATTGGATGTAGTGGCAGGTTTTATTATGGCTGGCACCAGGGCTTTTTTTGTAGAAAAAGCCCAGCAGGAACTCATTAGCATATTAGGCCACACCTCTGACAGCGCAACTCATTGGCATATTAGGCCACACCTCCATGTTACCAGAAGTGCTGCCATCCACCCACACCCACCTTTTGCTTCTTATTCTGTTTACCTTGTTTGTTGTCAAAACCCAGGGCTTTTTTATAGCAAGAACTCCTTTGCGCGTTAGGCCACACACCTCTAATGTAGCCAATCCTAATGAGTTTCTGCTGTTGGGCGTGGCCTATTATGCTAATGAGTTCCTGCTGGGTGTGGCCAACTTGGGAGCCAGCCGGAACTCTGTTCCTGTGCGTTCCTGCCCCAAAATAGCCCTGGCTGGCACCCTCCTCCTCCTCTCTCCCATCTTTTCTTTCTTCTTTGCCTCCTCCTTCCCCTGCCTGCAAGGCAGCAACACTGTCCAGAATTGGCTCAAGATAAATCCACACACCACCCATGGATTGCTTTAATGCACCTAATGAGTGGTTTATTTATTATAATTTTTAACAATGTCTGTGATGTATTTTATCCCACTGTTATTCGTCGCCCAGAGCCCTATGAACTCAGGGATTGGGCAATCCATACATACATAAATAAGAAATTCTGAGGCAATTTGAACTTGCATAATTCATCTGCAGTTCTTTTAGCTGAGAATTGCAGAATTGGCATGCTGAAGATCACATTAGAAGAGATGGAGGTCACGTATCTCTTTGAAGTAAAACTGCAGGCTTCGGAACAGGGCCATGCGAAAGGCAGGGCTCCTCATCCTATGCATTGTTTCTGCCGTCAAAACTCCCCTTCCTTGTACTTCCGTCAACCCTGGAAGGAAGGTTACTAGGCAGAGACACGGTCTGTGGACAAATGAATATAGGTGTTTCTGCTTCTGCCTTCTTGCCGCAGCTGTGTGTGTTTGAAAACCATTTCTGGAGAATCAGGGAATCCCTTTGGGAGTGGTGAGGAAAGAGGCACAGAGGCTGCAGTACAAAGGGAGCACTGGCAGAAACTACCTTCCTTTGTGTGGGTGGAAGCAGGGCCGGCTCGAGGTGTTTCTGCGCCCTAGGCGAGGCTGCCTTATGGCGCAGATGCCAACCTCCCGGTGGGGCCTGGAGACCTGGAGCCCTCTGGAGCCAGCCACCCTTTTGCTGCTGCTGCCACCACCACCTCCTCCCCCCCTGCCACCACCAAAGAGGGGGAGGAGGGGGGAGGCACAGCTTGGCGCCCCATCCAGGGCCCGGCGCTCTAGGCGAATGCCTAGTTCGCCTAGTGGGTGAGCCGGCCCTGGGTGGAAGTGCCATTTAGATTTGGATTTAAGCTCCCCCCCCCCCCGGGCATGCTAAATAGATTTGTTTTTGCTTTTTTTGCCAAATGGAAAAATTACAATCAGGTTCCAATGAAAGGATTTTTAATCTATTCATCCTGCAAGTTTGCAGATATATATATTTTTTAAAAAGTTGCTTACATTGGTATCTATGAAAACGGCTTTGCTACACGATTAGGAATTATTGGCATCATTATCATGTAATGCGTGTACTGAACTATTAGTTACCATGATTTCATAAAAAGAGACGAATTATAGTCCGCAGTGGCTTTCTACTGGGTTCAAAGTGTACTAATATGCCTAAGGGGGGGTCTTTACATTTGGCAGCATGGCATGGGCTGGAGATCATTGTATTTCCATGGTATTATGTCAATATATATATTTTTACAAGAAAGAAGAAAATTCATGAAACATGAAAGCATGTGGTTCGTTATGCAAGATCTTAGACATTAGGAGGGTGGTTCTAATACTATGATTTTCTTCCACTCTGATTTGAACCCCTTCCCATTGAAATAAACGGCCTACATAAAGCTATTTCTCTCCATCACACCATGTAGCTCTTAATCTGCCATTCATGGAGCAAGGGGGGGCTGTTATTCCCCGTAATACGTTAATACCTACCTTGCCTTCTCCCTCAAATAATCACAAATGTTGTTCCAGCAGGTTGTGCCAACCTCATTTCTAAAAGTCCTTACCCCCTTTGGGATTATTCTCTACACTGTTGAGGCCGAAGTTTGAAATGGCACAAGCTGGACAGCAAATGGGTTCAGCTCTGGTTCAGCAAGGGCACACATGAATTCTGCAAAAAAGACATTCATATTGACTCGTGTTTGTATTCCACTGTATTCCCAAGGGAAATAGCTGCTCGTTCATCTCCGTTGCAATGATGGTAACTTCCTTCACAAAAGGCATTGGGGTTAATCTGCTGGGAAATTGCGTGGGATTAAGAATCTGAAGAATCTGATCTGTAAAATCCCACCGCTTATTCTCTGTAGACTTAAATCCCCCTTTCACTTGGGTTTAGCTCTATCAGGATGCATGACAAGAGCTCTTCTCAGTCATTACTGCTTCGCATTCCTGTGGTGCATACCAGGAGAGCACGTTATGTGCAATCCTCTCATTTACCTCTGTTGGCCATTTTGTGTGCGAATGGGACAACAGGCATATTTTCCAGCTTCGGTATATGCAATTGGAAACCAGATTTTCTTGAGAGCTTCTGATAATCTATTCCTAAACTGGGGAGTATGCCTATTGTCCCTTTCACACAGAATAGCCATAGCATGCGTTTAAACGATTGCAAATCCTAGGCTCCCCTCCCTGGTAGGTGAGGTAGGAGCATGAGAGTCATAATGACTGAAAAGGGCTAAAAGGTTACAAGAATCTAATATTTTGGATATTTCACTGGCCCGCAGAGACGTGATTTTGTAGATCTCAAACCATACCATTGTGAAACAAATTTAGAGTCCAGTGCACCTTTAAGACCAACAAAGGTCAACCTTTGTTGGTCTTAAAGGTGCCACTGGACTCTAAATTTGTTCTACTGCTTCAGACCAACATGGCTGACCACCTGGAACATATCCTTGTTTGCTGTTTGATTACTATGAATGAGTGGCCTGTAGTGTTATATCTCATAAGAACCAGGGTCTATAACAAAATAGTCGTAATGTCCCTCAATAGGTGCTAATTGTTAGAAGATACCCCTCTAATAGCTCTGTTAATTATCCATCAGATCTTGGTAATTTTTTATGTGTGTGTGTGCACCTGGAAGTCATGTCGACCTCTGGTGACTGTCCCCTACTTGGGGGCCTAGAGGATATTCAGAGGGCTGAATAAGGCCTGCCCCCGCCTCCCACCTCTGGTATTCCAAGGAGGTCTCCCATCCAAGAACTTGCCAGGATTGGCCCTGCTTAGCTTCTGAGATCTGACGAGATCAGGCTTGCCTGGACTATCCAGGTCAGGGATAATTATCCATCAGATCTTGAAGGAGATGACCCCCTCCAAATAACAGAAGGGGGCAAGCATGTATGTGAAGAAATAGCAGGTTTGGGGAGAACAGAGGGTTGCCAGCCTCCAGGTGCAGACTGGAGATCTCCCAAAATCACAACTGACCTTCTGATGACAGAGATCAGTTCCCCTGAGGGGAAAAACCCGGAGGCTGGGCTCTGTGGCATTATACCCTCCTGAACTCCTTCCCCAGGCTCTGCCTCCAAAACCTCCAGGAATTTTCCAAATCGGAGCTGGCAACCCTAAGAGAGAGGAATCCTAAGGAGATTTTCCCTGGGAGCAAGCCCCAATAAGTAGACTTCACAAAAACCTACTTGAGAGGGGCTGTGGCTCAGTGGAAGAGCATCTGCTTGACATGCGGAAGATCCCAGGTTCAGTCCCCAGCATTTCCAGTTAAAACGACCAGGTAGTAGGTGGTGTGAAAGGCCTCTACCTGAGACCCCAGAGAGCCACGTCCAGTCTGAGTAGATAATACTGACTTTGATGGAGCGATGGTCTGGTTCCGTATAAGGCAGATTCATGCGGTCATGTGACTGCACCGAAAAAAACAGACAGAGAATCTGATGAGTTGGCTGAAACATGTGGAGTGCAGGGTATAATCTCTGTCAAGTACGAGACTCAACACAGCTAGTGAACAGTGAATCAGCTTTATTAACAAAGTCAGAAGAAATCAGAATGAGACAAAATCATAGAGCAACAGGCTCTCTTTTAAACAGTCCGGGCTTGGGTAGCCACGCCCACAAGTCAGCTAACAACCAATCACTATTTACAAATAAGGTCCAATCAGAGTGCTTCCCTCCAGAACATTGCACAGCTCTGATTGGTGTATTTACAATCCTGTTTTAGAACTCAAGCTAATGCAGAACTTAATACATAACAATCTCTCTGTCTCTCTCTCACACACACACTGTGGGGATCTGATGAGGGGTAGCAGATCTGCCCTGTAGTAGTGCCGCTCTGCTTCCATCCAAGTTCTGCTTGTATTTTTGCAAAAAAAAAAATACAAAAAAACACCAGTGTTCTTTCATCCAAAGGAAATCAAACCCACGCCACGGAGTTGTTGGAACTGCTCAGCAACTGGGCAAGTGAGGAATGGAGAACCATACATTGGATGATATTGGATGCACTGAAATAGCAGCATCAAGCCGAATGTGGTTTCTTTAATGGGGGTTGTTTTATAAAACGAGTAATGAAATCTATTATTTCCCTATACTATTGATGTCTAATAATCTGGTTTTTTTAAAGCAATTTTCGATCAGAATCATAAAACCCTCCTGATATAATTCAGTTTTCCGTTTCCAACCAGGATAAGTGCTGCAACTCTGTGCACTGCAGAACCGTGCCTCAGCCAAAGTGCCGCTAAAATGCCAATATTTCATGCCAGCGTGGCAAGTGAGACATTGAGAAATACAGGCATTTGTAAATGACAAAGATAATGAAACTGGCAGCTCGTGTGCTTTCCCAGTAGAACCCAAATTGCAATGTCTAAATGAGGATACACAAAAATATAGACAGATGGTACAGATCTCGCAGCTTACCAAAGCACAAATGTAGGACAGAGAAATAAAAAAAGAGAGAGAAACAGGGGGAAAAAATAAATGAATGCTCCGAGGAGACATGTTTAAAGAGAAATGGCAAAAACGTTAGATTCACTAGTTATTGCTTCCCTTGCGTTCTTCTCTCAAAACTGCCTTTTATCCGTGGCATAAAGGCAAGTACAGTAGGAAGAAAACAAGAGCCGACTGATTGGAGCCAGAGACAATCTGTGGCTTAAATGAGGGACGGGTGAGAGATACGATGGAAAGAGATTAAATGTCCTTATTGGTAAATTGGCAGTTGTAGGGGCTTTATTGCCTGTTCTGAAAATGCTTCTGTCAGGAAGAACTTCAGTCAGCTGCAGTGAGGCTGCCTCCAAGTACAAATAGCTTCGCTTGTTAGCACTGGCCAGGTAGCCTCTCCTGTCCTTTCACTGTTCAGGTTTGTTAGTTCTAAACAAGAAAGCTTCCCAATCCCATAGGACCAGCATTAGGTACAGAAAGCCCAGAGTTCTGTCAAAATCCTGCGTAGAATCGTGGGGTGAGAAAGGACTTGATCAACCATCTAGTTTGGGCCTGCACAATTTGTGTCCCACAAAACTGAATGGAGCCCACCAGCCATGAATGTCAGCCCACTAGGTGCCAATAAACTTCCTGTTCTTGATGCCTGCAAAAATTGGGCATAGGGCATCAAACAACTGGCATGCCTAGAGTTGCCAGCTCTGGGTTGGGAAATACCTGGAGATTTGAGGGTGGGGTTTGGGGAGGGGAGGGACCTCAGCATGGTCCAATGCCATAGAGTCCACCCGCCAAAGCAGCCATTTCCTCCAGGGGCATTGGTCCTGGTCATCTGGAGAGCCATTGTAATAGTGGGAGATCTCACGCTGTGTGGATCTCAAGCCGTGTGGTCCTGACCCGTTCCAACTTGCCCAGATACATTTCCAAAACAGGACACTAATTCCAACGTTTGGTCCTTGTTGTTGCCCACTAAGCATTTTGCCTTCCTTTTCTTCCACAGGAAGGCTGACACAGTGGCAGCGATGACTACGCCTGAGCAACTGCATCCCAACATGTTAAAGAGTTTACGTTATCTGCAACAGTCTTCTTCCCAAAGGGAGCCATGTGATTTTAGTGGGCTTGGCTGATGGTACCTTCTTATGGGATAACATGCACGGCGGATATCATCCCCTTGGTAAATATTCCAGCTTCCTTTCTTAGGCATGAGTATCTGTAAGAGGTGCCTTCCCAGACCAGATCACAGGTCCATCTAGTTTGGCATCCTGATTCACACGACAGTCAACAAGGCACTCTGGGAGGAACCAATGAACAGGGCACAGAAATCAAGACCTTTCCTTCATTTTGCCTCCTGGCACTGGTACTGAGCTGCAGTCCCATTAGTCACTCTCCACAAATCTGTCCAATCCCTCATTACCAGTGTTCCCTCTAAGATGAGTTAGTGTGAGCTAGCTCACAGTCTTTTAGCCTCCGGCTCACACATTTTTGTCTTAGCTCAGGAAGGAGGGCTCCAGAGCAAACGAACATATGCAGTAGTCCAATCGCTCGCTCACAACTTTAATGCCAGTAGCTCACGAAGTAGAATTTTTGCTCACGAGACTCCACAGCTTAGAGGGAGCATTGCTTATTGCAGCCATTTATGCTAACAGCCACGGCGATATCCAGTTGCAGACAGCCCCACAGTTTATCAACTCGGAGTGAAGAAGTGTCGTCTTTTATGTCCTAAATCTCTTGCCTATTGACACCATATGTAGGCTTACCAAGTTGCTTGCCATGGCATCAGCCTCCTACCTCCATGGGCTCTTGCCCACTCTTGAAGCAGGAGAAAATTGGAAGGGGGGAGTGATGTAGCAGATGTGGTGATGTCATTTCTGGTCAGCATGGCCATGAATCTCTAGGAATGTCATCTGTGGCCTTTAGTTAAAGCGATTGAGGGAATAGAGCATCATGTGATGTTCCACCTCCCCTGCCCCACCCTCTAAAGCTCCTGGTATTGTCAGGTGCAAACTTGGCAACCCTGTTACGAGTTCTAGAATTCTGGGAGAGAGAGAGAAAGTTCTTTCTCTGAGGCTGAAGCCCTGCCAGTTGGCAAGGATTTTTATTCCCTGGACTTCCATCATGATTGTAGTACTCCAGCTGTCCGGGGTCTTGGGCTGAGGTCTTTCACATCACCCAGTGCTTGATCGTTTTAACTAGCAATGCCGGGAAATTGAACTTGGGACCTTCTGCGTTATACCCCCCCCCAGTGTTGAGCCCCCCCCTAGGATCTTCCTATCTGTGTGTATGGCAGAGGTCTCATTCCTTCCAATTTAAGCAATCCTATGTACTAGATTATAGTTACAGGCTAATTTAGCTCAGGCTGCGAGGGCAACAATCTAGTGCTAAACTGGAAAACACCGTTGACATTTCCTCTGGCAAAACCACAAATTAAATCACTGACATTTGGACAGCTTTTAATGGAACCAGAAGCTTGAGGTATCCGGTCGGTCACGCTGTAGGACCACTTCTAATCGTGAGGATTTCACTGAGGTAACCAGTGTGTTAAATGAAGGAGAAGAATCCTCAGTGGAAGTAATGGCAATAGTTTAAATAGTCACTCCCATGCACGGCCTGAGATTTTGTGAGCCTTTTGTGAACCTTTTGTGATTGTGTTACACGGAATGCAAGCTGGCCTTGAGGGTGTTTCCTTTTTTTAAAAAAAAAATGCATGATTAAGGTATCTTCTTCAGCATCCTGACTTAGGTAGCACTTTTGTCTAAGAATGAAGCAGTAGGTGGAGGACACCCTGCTTTGTAGGATGTTGATCAAACATGAGTGTTGCTTAATATAATGCATGTCATGGGGAATCGGTTGTGTACTTAACTGAGTGCTTGAATTCACCTCACCTGCGCAGAAGATGCATTTCCCTCTATGACAGAAAATATTATTTCCACCTTTAAAGCCCAACCTATCTGATATATGAAAAGTGAAAACCATGATTGTACACAGTCACCTTTAATCTTCTTCCTTGATGTGAAATGGCTAAATTTGTTTTTGGAGAGTGAAAGGCTCGCTAATGGATAAAACATCAGTCATTGCCCCTGAGATTTCAGCAGACTATTATAGCTCTCTCGCTCGCTCGATTGCTTGAAAAAGAGGGGGGGGGAAGTGTGCTGTGTGCCGAACAGAAAACAATGACCGTTCTGTGAGGCCAAGACAAATGGTAGTGTGGGAACTCACTTGCATTGCCAGAGTGGATACCACAACATGAAAGCCCAAGTCTTTGGGCCATAGGTTAGAAGGTAAAGAAACATCAGTGGTTGGGAGGGAAGGCTTTCAGTCAGGGCTCTTTTTGTAGAAAAAGCCCAGCAGGAACTTATTAGCATGATAAGCCACACCCAACAGGAGAAACTCATTAGCCTATTAGGCCACACCCCTGACAGCACAGCTCATTAGCATATTAGGCCTCACCCCCATGTTATCAGAAGTCTGGTCATCCAGCCACACCCACCTTTCGCTTCTTATTCTGTTTACCTTGTCTGTTGTCAAAACCCAGGGCTTTTTTTGTAGCAGGAACTCCTTTGCATGTTAGGCCACATACCCCTATTGTAGTCAATCCTGATGAGTTTCTGATGTTGGGTGTGGCCTATTATGCTAATGAGTTCCTGCTGGGCGTGGCCAACTCAGGAGCCAGCCGGAACTCGGTTCCTGTGCGTTCCTGCCCAAAAAGTAGCCCTGCAAGAGACATTTTAGTACCTACTTAAACACCTTTTTACCCTGACCTGGATAGCCTCAGCTAGTCCAATTTTGTCAGATCTCAGAAGCTAAACAGGGCCGGCGCTGGTTAGTCCTTGGATGGGAGACCTCCTCTGAAACATCTCTTGCCTTGAAAAACCCAGATGGTTGTCATAAGTTGGCTGCAACTTGGTAGCAAATATATATATATATTTATATATATTTTCATGTCAGTGTTTCCAGAGCCCTAGTATGGTTTGTTCATTTATCTTTCCAATTGCCTGGCACCTCTTGGAACTGTGATGCTGATTAAAGAGATCTGTAAAGATGTACTTGTGAAGTGTGGCTGTGAGGCTACTGGGGAGAAGCACCACACGTGGCGGCATCTTCTGTTACTTCAGGCAAAAGGTCCACATGGTGCAGGTATGCTGTGCTGGTTTCCCACTTACCGAGAATTATTAGTAAAGGGGAATTTTGGAAAATATTATCCCTGCCCTGCAGTCTGTAATATTATGGTCCTTCTCACCACCTCAGTACCACAATGCATTTTGCTGCACATGTAGACCAGGCCTCAGACTGGAAAAATAAATGCTAAGAGCCCAGGCCGGAGTAATATCGTCAGACCTCAGAAGATAAGCAGGGTTGGCCCTGGTCAGTCATTGGATGGGAGACCACCAAGGAAGCCCAGGATGGTTTCGCAGAGGCCGGCCATGGCAAACCACCTCTGAACATCTCTTGCCTTGAAAACCCTACGGGGTCACCATAAGTCAGCTGTAACCTGACAGCAAAAAAGGGGGAAGGCTGCATATTAAAAAAAAAAATAATTGCAAGGTCTGCCTATTCCTGCTTCCAGCAGTAGTCAGTCAGGTTGCCAACTCTGGCTTGGGAAATTCCTGGAGATTTGGGGGAGGTACAAAATTTAGAGAGGGGAGGGAGCTGAGTAAGTCTGCAGGGCTCTAGAGTCCACCCTCTGAAGCTGCCATTTCCTCCAGAGGAACTGATCTCTGTAGTCTGGAAATCAGTTGTAATTCCGGGAGTCTTTGAGGCCCCTACCTGGAGGCTGGCAACCCTATCCTCTGGGAAGCCCACAAACAAACGCCCTCCCCTGTTGTTGCTTCTTCCTTGAGTAGATTGTATTTTGCAAGACAGGGCCATGGAATATGTCTATGGAGCCATTCCATCTATTAGCTGTGGAGAGGTCTATGTTCCATGACCTTGTTTGGACCCAGTGGCCACCAGCAGGGATGAGAGTCTCCAGATGGTACCTGGGGATCCCCTGGAATCACCGCCCATCTTCAGTCTGAGCCAGTTTGGTGTAGTGGTGAAGAGTGGCGGACTCTAACCTGGAGAACCAAGTTTGATTCTTCACTCCTGCTCCTCATGAACCCAGCTGGGTGACCTGGGGTCAGCCATAGCTCTCTCTGAGCTCTCTCAGCCTCAGGGAAGGTGATTGTAAGCCTCTCCAAGACTCCTTCGGGTAGTGAAGGGTGGGGTATAAAACCAATTCTTCTTCTTCTTCTTCTTCTTCTTCTTCTTCTTCTTCTTCTTCTTCTTCTTCTTCCTCCTTCTCCTCCTCCAGCCAAAGAGACCAGTTCTCCTGGAGAAAATGGATGTTCTGGAGGGTGGACTCTATGGCATTGTATCCCCGTGCTCCCCAGGGTCAACCCCCAAATCTCCAGGAGTTTCCCACCCTGGATCTGGCAACCCTACCAATGCACGACATGTTGGAGTGGTAAAGTTCTAAATGTTAATTATGGAGTATCAAGAAGGACTCTACTTTGCCAAGGATTGAAAACCTAAAGAAGACTGAATAGGGCTGTTTGAGATTTTAGATTTCACCTTTTCCCCAAACAGGTAGGAATTGCCCCCCTCTGCCATCCCCTGTACCTCTTGTTGCCACTGGTAACATTTGTCATGGCGGCTTGTACAGACTTTGCGGGGATTGTAGTGTACACAAGCCATCTACCATAGTAACCTCTTCACAAATATGCCAACACCTGTAGAAAGCGGCAGACAGAGCCTAGAACAGTGATGGTGAACCTTTTAGAGACCGGGTGCCCAAACTGCGACCCAAAACCCACTTATTTATCGCAAAGTGCCAACACGGCAATTTAACCTGAATACTGAGGTTTTACTTTAGAAGAAACAACTCATACATTAACTTAAGATGATCCAAACAAAGTAAGGAAAGCAATCCCAAATGCTTTCATTTACTTAAAATTATTTGGCAGAGAATTCGACACTTTAATGATGGTCTGGGCCTAGCTGGGGCGATGGCACGCGTACCCACAAAGAGGGCTCTGAGTGCCACCTCTGGCACCCGTGCCATAGGTTTGCCACCACTGGCCTAGAAGGTAGGGGAGTCTGGCTATGGGATGTGCTGCAGGGCCGACATCCAAATAATGAATACCTCGGTGAGCAGATTTCTAGTGAGTTTCTGGCAAGGGACACAGCAGGCTTCAAAGGTGACAAGTTTTGAAACGTTCTTGTTTTCCAGGCCAGTTAAACAAAGACATCACATACGAACAAGTTTATTCGTTTCTCACTTGTCTTAAGGTAAGGCATCCCACACAACTGTGTTTTGCATCTAAAAGATACAAAATAGATACGATGACATGGTCCATCAGCTGGATCAAGACCTTGTTAGGATGGAAGCAGAAATGGTTTGGAGCCACAGAAGAACCTCTCCCTTAGGAAGAACAGGAAAGTACTGCGTAGAAACCAGGGACCATTATGCATTGGGAAGTGTGTGAGATGGCTATGTAGATGGTGAATGGATCCCAGGGATGGCCTTATCACTAGGTGGCACTTTGAAAGGTGCAGCACAGCGGAAGCAGTAGGGAATACGGAAGACATTCCCTCTCCCCCCACCCCCAATATCCTGCTGTCTTTGAGAAGCACATCTGCTTAAAATGTTGTTTGAGGCTGAAGGGAGCCTGTTGGGATCAACAGACTCCAGGGCCAGATGGGAGGGGTGATGCCCTGGATCACGGCCAGCAGGGCTATTTTTGGGCAGGAACGCACAGGAACGGAGTTCCGGCTGGCTCCCAAGTTTTCCACGCCCAGCAGGAACTCATTAGCATAATAGGCCACACCCAACAGCAGAAATTCATTAGGATTGGCTACATTAGGGGTGTGTGGCCTAACATGCAAAGGAGTTCCTGCTCCAAAAAAAGGCCCTGGGTTTTGACAACAAACAAGGTAAACAGAATAACAAGCAAAAGGTGGGTGTGGCTGGATAACCAGACTTCTGGTAACATGGGGGTGTGGCCTAATGGGCTAATGAGTTCCTGCTGTTGGGTGTGGCCTATTATGCTAATGAGTTCCTGCTGGGCTTTTTCTACAAAAAGAGCCCTGACGGCCAGCATCCAATGTGCTGGAGCGGGAGCAGAGAGGAACCAAAGTTTTTGTAGGCCCTCCCCTGCCTTTGGCATTCAAAAGACATCTCACATTTTGGCAAGCCCAGATTGTAGGTCATTGTATTCAGATAGCTGTCTACGGTTACATCTGTTCAGAAAAAGCTATTTCCTGAATTTTGGTAATCCCTCTTGATTGTCCCCACTTACTGTGTGTTTCCTGTCTGCTTCTGAAAGTGTAGCCCAATGCACAGGGCACTTCCGGCCCTTGGAATGTTTCGAAGAGACCTTCATGTCATCCGTCCGAGCGAGGGGCCTGTCCGCGTGCTCTTTCCGTCACATACTAAATGGTTAAAACAGCATTTCCAATTCGTGCAGGTCAATCCTTGCAATGGCTGGTTATCGTCAAATGACACGCTTCGGAACATCGCCACGGAGGTAAGCTCAGAACATAATATAGAAACAGTTTGAAATGACGGGTTGGATCTAGTTGTCCTTGCTAAGTCAAGGATCTTCCACCGGAGGAAAACTCCTATCTATCTATTATATTTTTATCCTGACCTTCCCCTAAGAAGCTTTGGGTGATATATAAAAATATCTTTTAGTAGAATAACTTGGAAATACTGTGGACTGCAGTCAGTAAACTGGCATTCTTCCTTCTTTCTGCACAGCGAAGAAGGCTTCTTCTAACACAGTGGCCGCTGAAATGTGTGCTGACATCATCTGGTTTTATGTGCAAATATATGTAGATTTAATTGATCCACTTATCTTGTTCATTGCCTAATATGTCTTTAGGTCTGTCATCCAATAAACGAGGTCTGATTTTTAATGCTGCTGTTATTTTGCTTGAGATATCACTTCTCAGAGACTCTAATGCTACAAAAAAAAAAGAGTAAAGATTTCTTCGTTGGGACTTTAACCATCGTAAGGACTTGATTCATACTTGTATGTGTTTGCACACTCCAGCCAAACTTGCATGGAGCTGGATGACTGGACAGATGTGTTCCTCTAGCAGAGGCACTTTTCTCTGGTAGAAAGAGACTCCTCCTGGCGCAAGATACAACGGCATTAGAGGAAAGCGCTTGTGCTAGCAGAACAGATCCATGGGATCCCACACCACGGTTAAAAAGGCCTGCAGACCAAGGTTCAGTTTCCCACTTGGGCATGTTGCTTACTGGGCAACTGAGCTCTAGCCCCGTTCTCTCAGTCTGACCTGTTTGATGGGGTCATTGTGAGGATGATGGGTGTTTCCTTAAACCTTTTGGAGGAAGGGCAGGATTAGAAATGCAATCAACAACAACAACAAGAAAAAACAACAACCACCAACAACAAACAACAACAACAAACAACAGCAGCAGCTTCCCTAGGGTTGCCAATGTCCAAGTAGGGCCTGGCGGTCTCCTGGAATTGCAACTGGTCTCCAGACTATAGAGATCAGTTGCCCTGGAAGAGATGGCAGGATTGGAGGGTGGATTCTATACCCCTCTGAGGTCCCTCCCACCCCCAAACCCCACTCTCCCAGGCTCCGCTTATGGGAAATGGGCCATTGTATGCTTAGATTTCTTTGAAGACCTTATCCTTGCTACTGAACATTGCAGCATGTATTATCATTGTGGCATAAAAGCTAAGGCTGTGTAAGCAAGGCCAGTTCTTTGCGCAAAGAGTGCTTGGGATTTGCGACTTTGATTTTTTAAAAATGACATGTTGGATTCCTCATTTCTTTTCCTGCACAGAAGCCGGAGCACTGTGGTGGTACAAAGCTCATCATACGTTGTTTTATTGTCTGCATTAGTGTGAGCCCCTCTGAACGCTTGGCGGGATAAAAGTTCTCGTAACTGTGAATGCCCATTTCTTTCCCCAGAGGGCGCTGCGACTTTCCAGCATCCTGAGAGGAATAGCAGAATCTGAGAAATATGCCAGTTTTGATCTTTTCTACATGGATTACCCACTGAAAGAAAGTATGTTGCTTTACATTCGCCTAACCAGGGCTCTTTTTCTAGAAAAAGCCCAGCAGGAACTCATTAGCATAATAGGCCACACCCAACTGCAAAACTCAGTAGCATATTAGGCCACACCCTGACAGCACAGCTCATTAGCACATTAGGCCGCACCCCCATGTTACTAGAAGTGTGGTTATCCAGCCACACCCACCTTTTGCTTGTTATTCTGTTTACCTTGTTTGCTGTCCAAACCCAGAGCTTTTTTTTGTAGCAGGAACTCCTTTGCATGTTAGGCCACACACCCCTAATGTAGCCAATCCTAATGAGTGTCTGCTGTTGGGCGTGGCCTATTATGCTAATGAGTTCCTGCTGGGCGTGGCCAACTCAGGAGCCAGCCGGAACTCCGCTCCTGTGTGTTCCTGCCCCAAAATAGCCCTGGCCTAAACCATTTATAGTAAGCAGCCTAATACCCCAGACTTGCCTGATCTTTCAGAGCTTGGAAATCTAAGCAGGGTTGCCGTAACCAGTACTCGTGTGGGAGGCAACCAAGGAAGACCTGGGTTGCGGTCAGGATAAAGTGGAGGAGGGGAGAATGATGTCAGCTGCTTTGAGTCCCTGTTGTAGAGAAAGGCCTGAAATAAATAAATACAGCCAGAGTTGGTGGGGGTAAATAAAAGGTAGGTTGGTGGGTGGGTGGGAAGGAGAGATGGGCTTAGAGAAAGGTGAGGATAAGGGGGTTACCAGGTTCTTCTTCTTCTTCTTCTTTTCTCCAGGGTCTTAGGCAGAGGTCTTTAGCACCACCTACCGCCTGGTCCTGTCAACTAGAGATGCCAGGGATTGAACCTGGGGCCTTATGCATTCCAAGCAGACGCTCGGCCACTGAGCCATAGCCCCTCCCCTCCTTCAGCTTCACTGGTGTTTCTGTTGATGATCCATATAAGAAAGTGATTGCACATAACTTGTTGTCGAAACAGGTAGAGGGAGATGTACTGCAAGGCAGATGTGAATGTGCATCTCTCCCATCCACACTCTGCCATCCAGATGCAGATGGTAGTGGATGTCCCTATCTGGATGCACCATCTCTGTGTCAGTTCATAGCTACACCCCCATCAGCTATTACACTTGCCACTCCAGCAAGGAACTGTGTGTGGAAGGGGGCTTCCATCCCTGGAAATTTCCTGCTGGACAGGGGCCTTAGTGCTTTGGGGTGTGCCAACTTTTTTGACTGTCCCTTTTGCTTAGTTACACAATCACAGATTTCTTTGCTGACAATTTGAATTATTGACGGAGCTAGTTCAATCAAAACCATTCTGAATGCCTTCTTAGTATTTCATACGAGTCATTGCTGATGATCCAAATTTTCAATTAGGAAGTCATATTGGGGGGGGGCAATCCGTATGCTTTACCTTCTCACATGGGTTAGCAAAAGCCAATCGCGTCACACGAGATCCCAACTCTTGCAGTGTTTCACACAGCCCGTAAGTGTTTGCGATTAAAGACTTCTGCCTAGTAGAAGTGTCAGTTGTCAGGTTTCCTTTCTAAGCTGCTGCTGCTGCGGCTATCATCACTGACCTATTTTCCAAGGATTTTTTTTTTTTGGTTCTCAAGTCGATGCAAAGCCCTTTTGGAGTATCAAAGGATGAAATATTTAGCAGCGGCTGCAATCAAAAATTTTCACTTTGGATGAAGTCCTAATTCTTTTTGAGCCTGAGCTCTCTGGCATGTCATTAGGGGTAAATCCCCCTAGTCAAGTGTCCTAGAATATCTCTGAAGTCAGGCCATTTCCTAACGTTCTTTTCTCACAGGGCAGCATTTGCATGTCGCCGTTTCTGATGCTGCATGTACTGAAGAGGCTGGGTGGTTCACAGAGTTGATGCTGGTGTGACAGAGCCATCAGTGCTGTGGTTGTGCGCCTTGGGGTGTTGGAGTGCTTCAGAAACCTGAAAAAGCTAACAGATTTGATAGCAGGACAAAATAAATGAGCGGGCACATTATAGGCAACAAAAGGTCCATCATTCTACCGTCAACTCTGTCTTCAGCCATAAGTACAAATGACATCATTGACTGATGGGTTGTATATGTGTCCTCCCTCCCTCCCCTTTCCTTTCCTTTCCTTTCCTTCTCTTTCCTTTCCTTCCCTTCCCTTTCCTTTCCTTTCCTTTCCTTCTCTTTCCTTCCCTTCCCTTCCCTTCTCTTTCCTTCCCTTCTCTTTCCTTTCCTTTCCTTTCCTTTCCTTCTCTTTCCTTTTTTTCCCTTCTCTTCCCTTTCCTTCCCTTCCCTTTCCTTTCCTTTCCTTCCCTTTCCTTCCCTTTCCATCCCTTTCCTTCCCTTCCCTTCCCTTCCCTTTCCTTTCCTTCCCTTTCCTTCCCTTCCCTTCCCTTCCCTTTCCTTTCCTTTCCTTTCCTTTCCTTCCCTTTCCTTCCCTTTCCTTCCCTTTCCTTCCCTTTCCTTCCCTTCCCTTCCCTTCCCTTCTCTTTCCTTTTTTTCCCTTCTCTTCCCTTCTCTTCCCTTCCCTTCCCTTCCCTTCCCTTCCCTTCCCTTCCCTTCCCTTTCCTTTCCTTTCCTTTCCTTCCCTTTCCTTCCCTTTCCTTTCCTTCCCTTCCCTTCCCTTCCCTTCCCTTCCCTTTCCTTTCCTTCCCTTCCCTTCCCTTCCCTTCCCTTCCCTTTCCTTTCCTTCCCTTTCCTTCCCTTCCCTTCTCTTTCCTTCCCTTCTCTTTCCTTTCCTTTCCTTCTCTTCCCTTTCCTTTTTTTCCCTTCTCTTCCCTTCTCTTCCCTTCCCTTTCCTTTCCTTTCCTTTCCTTTTCCCTTCCCTTCCCTTCCCTTCCCTTCCCTTTCCTTTCCTTTCCTTCCCTTCCCTTTCTTTTCCTTTCCTTTCCTTTCCTTTCCTTTCCTTTCCTTCCCTTCCCTTCCCTTCCCTTCCCTTCCCTTCCCTTCCCTTCCCTTTCCTCATAGGCCTAGGGTATTTTGATGGCTTACTGAAGGCCATGTGTGTTTGCATCCAGGCAGGGCTTTTCTTGTAGAAAAAGACCAGCAGGAACTCATTAGAGTAATAGGCCACACCTAACAGCAGCTCATTTGCATATTAGGCCACACCCCCATGCTACCAGAAGTGTGGTCATCCAGCCACACCCACCTTTTGCTCCTTATTCTGTTTACCTTGTTTGTTGTCAAAACCCAGGGCTTTTCTTGTAGCAGGAACTCCTTTGCATGTTAGGCCACACACCCCTAATGTAGCCAATCCTAATGAGTTTCTGCTGTTGGGCGTGGCCTATTATGCTAATGAGTTCCTGCTGGGCATGGCCAACTCGGGAGCCAGCCGGAACTCCGTTCCTGTGCGTTCCTGCCCAAAAATAGCCCTGCATCCAGGCAAGACACCAGCGGAGCCGAACAGACTGGCAACAACTGCAGCTCTCAGCCTGGCTTGCCAACTGGGTAAGCGCAGGAGAGAGAGAATCTTGGAGACCGGAGACCTGGGGCCTGCTGGTTTCCCCTTAGACCAATCGAGTCTTGTGAAATCAAACTGGCCAAATCTGAGTTTTATTTGTAACAATGGTGGTCAATACAGTATCGGAGAGACGTTTTGTTTTTTAATTTTTTAATTTTTTAATTTTTTATTATTTATTTTAATTTTTTTACAAGACTTTTTTTGAGCTGACAGAGCTGCTCATTACGAAGCGTTACTGGATTTAGCTTTCTGAGCGAATGCCATCAAGCAGGCTGAGGGAGGGCAGCACCAAGCTGGTGATGTGGGTGCAGGGCTAGGGTTGCCAACCTCCAGGTAGTAGTTGGAGATCTCCTGGGATGACAACTGGTCTCCAGGAGACAGAGATCATTTCCCCTGGAGAAAACGACCACTCTAGAAGGTGGGCTCTATGGCATTATGCACCAATGAAGCCCCTCCCCTCCCCCAATCCCACCCTGCTCAGGCTCCACCCCCAAAATCTCCAGGCATTTCCCAACCTAGAGCTGGCTGCCCTGGTGCAGGGTAGAGTTTGGGACTGAAACCACTCTAGATGTGCTGGTGGATTAACTTTTGACTAGAGAGGGACAGGGGGAGTGGCACTCTGGTCCACAGGCTGTCTGAGCGACGTTTGATACTATAGATCATAAAATGCTTCAAGAACATCTCATGTGGTTGAGAACTGGAAACATCCCTCCTCAGTGCCTGGCAGGATGGTGCCCAAGGGCAGGGCTGCCAAGAGGGGACTCGGGGGACAAAATCTGTGGTACCCCGGGGGGCCCATGGAGCTAGAGCAAGTCGTGTGGTTTGTTTTCATGTGATGTTTGTGATGGGTGTGGGTGAGGTGAGGATGGGACCAGAGCAAACCTTTCTCTGGAGGCTTGTTGTGGTTCTCAGCGGTCCTCCCAGAAGGTGGATTTGGTCTGCATGGTGCTACTTTTCAACACCTGTATGCAGCACCTGGAAGCGAGGGCTATTTCTGAGTGTGGAGTCATCAATGAGCGGACGGCACCCAACTCTATTTTCCTTTTTCTGTCAAATCAAGGAGCAGTGGAGGATCCCTTGGGCAATTGCCTGGCTGCAATTACGACTAAAATATGGAGAAAGGCGTTTAGCTCATCTGAGGGTCTAATTTATACCTGAGCATCTTTTACTTTTAATGAGATGCTTATTTTTTTCCCCTAGACAGCTCTTAGCAAGCAATGGAACACAGCATACCAAAAGACTTCGGCCCCAGCGTATAACCAGAACTATAAATTTTGTCGCTAGACATCCGCTGCCTTGAACTTTGGCGCTGAGCAAGATGTAACAAAACATGCAAGGCAAAAGAGTGTCAAAATCAGTGTTACATTTACTATTTTGTACCTTTGCTCACTTCGGCTTCCTCTTTTAATTGGAACTGGAAGGAAATTGTTCCGCCAGCATTTCTGTTCAAAGAGTTTCCGTCGCATATAAATATCTTGGAAAAGGCTTAAATGGTGCCTGGAAGGAAAGAGGATTGAATACAGTATTGACAGGTTTCATAAATCATCATAATCTTCATGCATAGTAGTCGTCTGCTAAAAATACTGACTGTGATGCCGTGCGAAGAGGATGTGATGTGTATATGTGCAGGTACATAATCCTCTATGATGATCTGGTTTGCAGTTGCGGAGGAATGGCGCAAGCAGGGAGGTGGAAACTGGCAGCTCATAGAACCTGTTGATGGGTTCCATCAGGTAAAAGGACTAGTTGTGTGTTTGTGTACCTGTGTGTGTGGCACGGGGTGGTGATGGCGTGGAGGAGAATATGTAAAAGCTACACATCTAAAGAGAGTCAGTGGGGTGTAGTGGTTAAAGTGTTGGATGAGGCTATGGAAAACCCGGATTAAAATCCGCACTCTGCCATGGAAGCCCGCGAGGTGGCTTTCGGCCAGCCACACTCTCTCAGCTGAACCTTCCTCGCAGGGTTGTTGTGAGGATAAAATGAAGGAGAGGAGAAGGATGTGAGCCACTTTGGGTTCTGTAATGTACTCAGCCATGACCACGTGCGCGACCGTTGGGCCATGCGGTCATGCCTAGCAGCAGAGCTTCGCTCCCCTGAGAACAATAGCCGAGCGGATCCTAGCCCGCACCAATCAGAGGGCCAGGTCCGCGGCCGAGAGCCTATGGAACTCTCGGCCACTGTAAATAGCCTATAGAGTAATAGGGGGTGTGTTTAGGTGGTGGGTTTTCTGGGCATATATACCGCCCTGCGAGCCGGCAGTCTGTGTCTTGTTCTATCCTAATAAAAGTACTTTGCTGGAATCACTCAACGTTTCTCAGTACTTTTCAGGTTCCTATTGGAGAGAAAGGTGAGATGGCAATGAAGTAAATCACTAAATAAAAGAGCACACGTTCTTATGCAATGACCCCGGAGTCCAGTAGCACCTTTGAGACTAACAGTGTTTAGCCCTGACCTGGATCGCCCGGGCAAGCCCGATCTCGGAAGCTAAGCAGGGCCGACCCTGGAAAGTACTTGGATGGGAGACCTCCTTGGAATACCAGGACTGGAAGGCAGAGGCAGGCTGTATCGAGCCCACTTCTCTGAACAACTTCCATGCCCCAGTAGGGGTCGCCATGACTTCCAAGCATGCACGCGTGCACACACGAATACAAAAATACACACACACGAAAGACTTAACATTTTTTGTTTCAGCATAAGCTTTCATGGGTCAGAGTCCCCTTCTGCAGATGCGTGAAGTGTACAGCCATCGGGCCTGGTTTTATATATGGTGGGTGGGATTGTTACGTAGAGGACAGTGTCAAAGGAGATCCAATCAAAAGAATGGCCCACTCGTACAGAGTAGGTGTGAGACACTTCCGACAACTGCCTTTAAGGTTCTTCTGTACTTGACTCCTGTGCGATTTGGCAACACTGGAAGAACACACCCCGACACCATTCGTGTGAGGTGCCACCAAGGTCGTGAACAGGAAGGAGCTGAAAATATGCACGGCGGCTCCGTGGAGTACCTGAAAGAGCGCTGTGCTCTTGACTGAATTCTCTCCCCTCTCTGGTACTGCCGGGGGGCTGAAAGATGACCTTTAAATCCTTAGGTGGAGAAATGCAAGGTCACATCACTTCAGCTGTAAATGTCCTCACTATTAACTGTATATTGGGGTCATGCTATTTTGAAGAAGCTTATTTGTACGGGAGCCAGGCTAATGTAGTGGCTGTGATGGACGGCCAAACGAGATGAGACTTTTAAAAATGAGTCCGGTCCGGGTTTCCCGGACCCAGCTCACGTTCCCCGCAGTCACACAGCGGCTGTGGAGAACTTGAGGAAAAACCTACAGCCTTAGGAAATGGCACAAAAGAGGAATACCCCCCCCCCACATACACAGTAGCATCAGTCAAATGACCAGTGGACAATGAACCAAGACAGGGACATTTTCCACCCTACAGAAAGGGTCTGATTTGCATAAGGAGGGCAGCACGGCTAGCTGTGTGTGTGGGGGGTGTTGCCTTCCTTATGCCCCCCAGGGCCCCACTCTGGTTGTTTCCCTCTCCCCTCCTCACCCCAAGTAGGGTTGCCAGATCCCCCTGGCTGCCGGCAGGGGGTGGGAGGTAGGGCTGCCAACTCCAGGTTGGGGGACTCCGATTTGGGGGTGGAGCCTGGGGAGGACAGGGACCTCAGTGGGGTACAATGCCACAGAGTCCACCCTCCAAAGCAGGGGTGTCGAACTCATGAGGGCCGGATCTGACATAAATGAGACCTTGTTGGGCCGGGCCACGTGTGTCATAAAACGTAATGCCAGGTAGCGGAGATATAAACTTTATAAAGGACACAAACACAAAGATTTTTTTTTACTTACAATAAAAACATGCTTAAAACATTAGCTCTGTAAGCTGCAAACCTACTTTTGGTTTATTGACATTCACCACAGGAATCTCATGCTCAGAGTTGTGAGTCTAGGACCCAGGTTAAAACATGAAACGGCTGCGTGATTAAGAGAGTCTGGCGAAGCAAGCTATGATGCAGCAGCAGCAGCAGAAATGGAAGCAGGAGATAACCAGTTCCACTGCGGGCCTGATGGAAGCCCTACGGGGGGCTGATCCGGCCCCCAGCCTGCATGTTTGACACCCCTGGTCCAAAGCATCCATTTTCTCCAGGGGAACTGACCTTCAAGTTGTGAGTGAACAATTTGGCTGCTGCATAAATTAGCTTGCTCTGGAGCCATCCTTCCTGAGCTAAGACAAAAATGTGTGAGCCAGAAGCTAAAAAACTGTGAGCTAGCTCGCACTAACTCGGCTTAGAGGGAACACTGGTCACACTCCGGAATAAGTGACTGTGTACTGTTAGGCTGAATTGTTTAAAGGAGGAAATGGCCGCTTTGGGAGATGGACTGTACGGCATTATACCCCACTGAAGTCCCTCCCCTAACCCCACCCTCCTCAGGCTCCACCCCCAAAATCTCCAGGCATTTCACCACTAGAGCTAGCTGGCAACCCTAAGGGAGCTCCTCCCTCCTTTTTTCAACCAATGAAAAAGATGGTTGGATCCAACCCAATGTTCCTTAATGAAAAACGTACTGTGCAGTACTATGTGTACCTGGCACATGCAATGCAACTCAAGCCTAAAGCATGAGAGAACTCCCACAGCAATTCCAAGTATTTTGGAGACTTTTTGCCTCTGGTCTTCTGTGCCAGATGATCACAGCAGCAGTACAGTTGCGAGTCTGGGGAGGAGCTGTGGCTCACTCATAGAGCACCTCATTTGCATGTAGAAGGTCCCAGGTTCAATCCCCAACATCTCCAGTTTTTTAAAAAAGGGATCAGGTAGCAGGTGATGTGAAGGATCTCTGCCTTAGAACCTGAAGAACTGCTGCCAGGCAGAGTAGAGTCTAAGTCAGCTTCATGTCGTCATCATGCGGGTGGCTTATTTCATGCCATAGTCAGGGTCTTTCCTCTTCAGGGGCACTACAAACACCTGTTGCCCGTGGAGTCAGGATTGTCTCTTAGAGAGAGAAAGAGAGTCTGTGGCTGATTTCCCACAAGCGCTGCTCCATGCTCGCTCTTCCCTTTTTGCCCCGATGGTATGTGTCAATTTCACACAAGCTGCTGCGCGGCCGTATTTTACCCTGGAGCTTCGCATGATTTTCCTCGCGTCTACTCAATCGGGGGATTTCCCACAAGCGCTGCTCCGCGCTCACTCCTCCCTTTGGCCCCGATGGTACGTGTCAATTTCACACAAGCTGCTGTGTGGCCGCATTTTGCCCCGCAGCTTCGTGTGATTTTCCCCGTGTCTACTCAATCCTCATAAAACAGATTCAAAACAATATCCGACCCACTAAAATTATTCAAGTTCCTTAATAATTTAAAGAAAGGGAATACAGAGAAGAAGGAGGAGGAGGAGGAGGAGATTGGATTTATACCCTGCCCTTCACTACCCAAAGGTGTCTCAGAGCTACCCAAAGGTGTCTCAGAGCGGTTTGCAAACTCCTTTCCTTTCCCCTCCCCACAACAGACACCCTGTGAGGTAGGTGGGGCTGTTTTCAAGAACAGCTGTGCCAGAACTACAGCTTGCCCAAGGTCATCCAGCAGGTGCAAGTGGAGGAGTGGGGAATCAAACCTGGTTCTCCCAGATTAGAGTCTGCGCACTTAACCACTACACCAAACTGGCTCTCCATGTAGAGAATGCAAAGTACTCACCCCAGCGAAAAGAGGCCAGGCGGGGGCGGGGGTAGGCATCCCCTGGGGTGCGTGCCTAACAGCAGCATTCAAAACCATTTGGCTTGTTGGGCAGGGCCAATTTGCTACCCAAATAACCCAGTCAAGACCCCGAGGCACTGGCAGCAGTATGGGAGAAGGCAACAGATATAGCTCATGCCAATCATGGCCTCCCAGACTCGTGCATCTGCCAGCCAAGTCTAGGGCCAATGCCTGAGACGGTGCCAGTGGTGTAGGGGGAGGTCAGTGCCCCCAATGTGTATGGTCAAGTACACGCTTGTCCTCCCCCCACACCCAGGGTTGCCAACCTCCAGGTGGGGCCTGGGAATCTCCCGCTTTGACAACTGATCTCCACCTGACAGAGATCAGCTCCCCTGAGAGAAAATGGCTGCCTTGGAGGGTAGACCCTATGGCCTTGTACCATGCTGAGGCCCCTCCCCTCCCCAAACCCCGCCCTCTCCCGGATCCACCCCCAAAGTCTCCAGGTATTTTCCAACCCAGACCTGGCAACCCTACCCCCACCACCTTTGTTTGCAAAGTACACTAACCTCTTCACAGGTAGATGTGGTTTTTTTCCTAGCACATGGGCCACAAATTCTGTCTACTCCTTCCTAAGCAAGATTTGATTTAGCTTGTATTGAAATGCCAAAAGAGGTTTCCTTATCAATTATCTAACATAACCAATCAGCTAGATGAAATCCCCACACACACACTGTTTGTACCACCAATTTGCCAATCCACGCAACTGCATTTTTCACGGTGGACAAATGGTTAGGCTTAACTCAAGTGCATTCACAGCTGGTTTTCCTTTGTATGACTTCACTATGTAATCTGCTTAAACAGTTTTCTAGAGGTTCAACTGTCTGTGTTATAAATGTGCACGCTGCATCTCTGTCGCTGTATTGCACCGTTTGATAAAACCTTTCAGCCCTAATATGCTACATAAGCAGATTGGCTGATTAATCACCTAAAGCTTCAATTAACCCATCTTTCAGAGTGTGGATTTTAATTAATGAGAACAAGCATAATGGGTGGGAATGAGAGTTACAGGCACACACTGGACGTCATTCGGCCTCCGTAAAACACTCCCAGATTCTATTCCTGGAATTAAAGAAGGCTCTTCACCTAGCAAAAGGGATCCAAGTCAATCAGATTTGAAAGCACTCATTATTTCTGAGGGTATTTTGGGTCTGGTAGGATAAATATTAAAATACTGCTCCTAAAAATGTGTGCAGCTTTTGTTTATTCTTTTATCTTATGAAAGATGGCACCCCACATATCAATAACTGGTTATTCTTGACATCAAATATGTTTTAATCGGTCACACTGGGGGGAAACTTCACTATTTTTTGCCAATAAGAATTAGTAGCCATTTTTGCTATGATTAGCAAACCGAACTACTAGTTTAGATTGTCCACAGCTTCTTCTGAAGAGTCCACTAGGGCTGTTTTTATATCACCAGGAGTTACGCTAATTAAGGTTATTTTCTTAGTTGTATTCTGCCAAGCAAAGCACAAGAAATATACCCCAGCGACACAGGATCCAATAGAGTGGTGCTCTGAACCAACCAATTGGAGTTGTATACCGGGAAATAGTTAAAAGCTAACAGACTTGACAGTTGGAAGTGAGAGACAAGGGTTATTAACAGATTGATTTAACAGGAATACTAATTAAAAATCTGTAGAGGAACTGGATCTTTGGTTAAGTTCCCTTGTCAGAGAGCCAGTTTGGTGTAGTGGTTAAGTGCACAGACTCTAATTTGGGAGAACCGGGTTTGCACCTCCACTTGCACCTGCTGGATGTCCTTGGGCTAGCCGTAGTTCTGATAAGAGCTGTCCTTGAAAAAGAGCAGTTTCTGTGAAGAGCTCTCTCAGCCCCACCTACCTCACAGGGTGTCTGTTGTGCGGAGAGGGAGGGAAAGGAGTTTGTAAGCCGCTCTGAGACACCTCTTCTTCTTCTTCTTCTTCTTCTTCTTCTTCTTCTTCCTCCTCCTCCTCCTCCTCCTCCTCCTCTATGTAACGGGGTAAAAAATTAAGTGTTATGGGATTACAGCAGCTCATTTTAATCAACACTTCCTTATAAGAAGGACAGATGACCATAAACATTGTCTGCTGGATTTCATGGCCACATTGGTAATTAAAATGAGGCAATAGTCAAGGGAGGTAGGAGGCAATAGTCAAGGGAGGTAATGGATTGAACTGGCATAGGATTGAATTTGTTGCAAAAGAGGGTGACTTGTCGATTATCTTCTTGCTTGGCACCACATGAGCTGTTTGCCGGTCTACCATTTAATTCTGCTCTGTTTGAATCCCTTTGGTTTAACTCAATGAGTCACAGGCACTAGGATGGTAATGTCATGGTTTTAGAAAAGCCCACTCTTCCCTGAGCCTTATGTTTAGACAGATCATCTGCTGCACTTTCTAAAAGTGTGTTATGTTGCATAAATTTCGTTCTTAATTTCAGTCATTTGTCTAATGTGATCACGTTTAAAGGCAGGTTAACAAAAACAGTATCTTGGATAACGTCCTCCTTTATAGTAGCAGTTTTACTATTCAACACTGCACAGTGATCATTTCAGAATCTCCACTTCAGACTACGTTCGATTGCACCAAATCACCCTAAATCCAAATATGCAGGTATCTTATGGGTATAGTTAATTGATGGCAAATGTCACTTCTTCATGGGAAGCCCTATTCTTACACGTTCAAAGTGATGGGATTGCCAGAAGTTATATGAATCATTTTCAAGGTAGGCCTTCTTCTGTTGATCCCCCAGGCAACAACAATGGCAGAGCCACATTGTGGGCATGTGAACAAATCTTTAAATGCTGCGCTGTAACAGGAGGCCTTGCTCCTGAGAAGACTGCTTTGCTAGAAGCCGTTAAGATGACGGTTCCTCCTTTGATCTGGGAATAGGGGAAAGCTGGCTGGGAAAGAAACCCCCCCCCTTGCTTCCTTTTCCCCTTCTCATCCCCAGTACACATTTAAACTGGAGGCCAGAGGCGTGGACCTCTTGGCAAGATCACAAGGGCTCTTGGCCTGTGGCTTTTTGCTGGGGACACAGTAGGGTTGCCAAATGTCCCTGGGGGGCGGGGAATCCCCCGCTTCGGAGCCCCGATTTTCGCCCCGGCGGAATCGGGGCCCGGGGGAACCCCGCCCCCGAAGCTGCGTCACTGGAGGTGACACAGCCACGTTGCTGACATTTGGGGCGTGGCTGAGCTCATCGGGGGGGAACCATATGTTTCCCCCCCGACGAGCTCGGCCCGTCACTTCCGGTGACGTCGTGGTGGCGCGCGTGCACGCACACAGCCGGCTCCCAGTCAGAACGGAGCCTCCCCCGCTGGTAAGATTTCAAGAGTTGGCAACCCTAGGACACAGACACTGTATGCAATTTATTTATCATTTATTTATTTCATTTGATTTCTTAACTGAACTTCTCTGCTTACGCGGGGCTAAGGGCGGTTTACAGCAACATAAATCCAGTACAATTTTAAAACCAACTAAAACTACAAAGATTCAATATTAAAACATCAATAGAACAAATTTATGTGATAACTACTACACAGGATTTGGTTGGCAATCAGAGCAACATGTGGGCATACAGCAACATTATTCATTGTACAAACTATATTATATCCAGTCGTATGACAACACAATATCTCATAACAGAAGTACACTTGCTAAAAATTGACAAAAACAGACATTAGAACAGAGGGAAGAGAAAGACTCCTCCCACCCTAGCAATACGCCTAAGCAAATGAAACACCCTGAAACAAAACTTGAATTCTCAAATATGTAAAATTATTCAGTTATGTTCGGATTGCCTTACTGAAAGCCAATGCCTGTATTTTTTGCAATATCCGATCCACTAAAATTATTCAAGTTCCTTAATAATTTAAAGAAAGGGAAGACGAAGACGAAGACGAAGACGAAGACGAAGACGAAGAAGAAGAAGAAGAAGAAGAAGAAGAAGAAGAAGAAGAAGAAGAAGAAGAAGAAGAAGAAGAAGAAGAAGAAGAAGAAGAAGAAGAAGAGGAGGAGGAGGAGGAGGAGGAGGAGGAGGAGGAGATTGGATTTATACCCCACCCTTCACTACCCAAAGGTGTCTCAGAGTGGCTTACAAACTCCTTTCCCTTCCCCTCCCCACAACAGACACCCTGTGAGGTAGGTGGGGCTGAGAGAGCTCTTGACAGAAACTGCTCTTTTTCAAGAACAGCTTGAAAACTAGAACTACGGCTTGCCCAAGGTCATCCAGCCAGGTGCCAGTGGAGGAGTGGGGAATCAAACCCGGTTCTCCCTGATAAGAGTCCGTGCACTTAACCACTACACCAAACTGGATAAATCCATGTCATATTTTCAAAGATTAATCCGCATGAGGGGGGAAAGTCACATTTCCTGTCAACAACAGCTTCCAGGTGCACATACCAAGACAGAAAACCATGCCTCTCTATCGCACCTTATGGGTAGCATGCTCTTTCCAACATAAAATCTCCTTGTCCAAAACTCACTGTAGAATGTGAATAGAGGTCTGAGTGACTTCAAAAAAACCTGGGTGGAAGACGGTTCCCCCAATAGAAAGAGAGATCAACACCAGTTACCCAGAAACCAAGAGCCATACCAACATAGGACAATACCTGTGGGACAGCTCTGTCCCTAGTGCCTCTTGACTCTGCCCTGAACTGTCGTATGGCTTCCCTGTGGGCCCTAGAATGTTGACTGTGGGAGGCTGAGGAGATTTTATTAGTAGCAGAAATCTTAACCTGGAATGGGTTGTTTGATGACTGCACTATTTCCATGCACATGGGAGCTGGTAGGTATGAGGGCAGGATTTCTCAAAGATAGCCAGTGTTTGGCAAGGGGGCTCACTGCCTGTCTATCCTCTGTAGCATTCCAAGTCTCGATGATAATAGAGCCCCCTTTCCTCCTGTGTCTACACTGATACTGTGCAGCACCAGATCAACGGCAAACAAGACTGTGCACTTCTATGAGATGTTGCTGGAAGAAGAAATTGACCTTGATTCAGCGATTATAGCCCATTGAAGAACATAGCTGTAAGCATAGCCTCATGATGAAGTGAATCAACAGTATATTTCCAATACGTCACCAAGAGAAATGAATTGTTGAAAGACAGTTTTTGTACACACCCTTGTTCAGAAGAAGATCATTGTCGAAACGGCACACCATTCCGGAGACCACCGTCTACATTCACTATATATATTACTTATTTTCTGTTATTGTATATTATGATTTATGAATATATTACCAAGCGCTAAATTGTCACAGTTCTTTTTCCTTTTTTCCTTGGTCTTATTGCTGTGCCCATTCTTGTAACTATTTAACCTCCATGAGACCACAATGGAGCTCTTCCACCAGGCCTTCGATTAGGAACCGCTACTAACAACATTGAACTGGGATAAGGCCCTCCACGACAACTGCATCTGCCTGCGATGTCAACAGTAACATCCTTTGGCCATACTTCCTGCTACATCTGCAACATCAGGGCCAAGAGTAACCGCCGCTAGCGCTTTAATTGCACTTATTTGAGAATTGCATATGAATTTTATGAGGCGTTTGTATGTAAGAAATTTGTGTTTTATTGTATTTTAATCTTTTAATGTGAGCCGCCCTGAGCCTGCTCTGGCAGGAAGGGTGGGATACAAATCGAATAAGATAATAATAATTTAAAAACCTCCACAGACTTCCAGTGCAAACTGTCACTGGTACTGATGCTCCATACATTGGGGACTAAGGGTAGATTAGGTATTCTTCTTGTCTTCTGCTCACCTAGTTCCCCAGTGGGCACTCTGTATGAGTTAGCAGAGACCCTGTAGGATGTGGTACTGGAGACTGATTGTTCTGGGGGGATTTCAGAATCCCAAACATGCTCAGCTCAAGCTGCAGTGGGAGTGTGGAATGTGAAGCTTCTTGAAGCGATTGACAAGGTTGGCTCTCTATCACCACTCTCACCCCTGGGGTGTAAACAGGTCTCCTGGTTAACCACAGAACTGGGTGACCTGAAGAGGGCTGGGAGATGTCTAGAACGATGCTAGCAGTGAACCTGTACTGAATCTGATAGATTTGGAGGACTTATGTATTTAGAAAACTCATTGGAAGACCTATGAAGTGGTGAAGAATCGATGGTACTGAGGTTAACTGGTGTGGTTAGTCCAGCCACCATTAGTTAGCAGAGTGCTTAAATAAAGCTACAAACGCAGGAGTATCACCATACCAGGTTACTCAGCTTACAAAGCTACACAGAGCCACATTGCAAGTTTAGAAGAGAAATACTTCTCTCTTTATTGGAGAAGTACACTTTGGAAAGGAGAGAGCAGAGACATGATAGATTACTAACTTGCTAGCTAAAGGATGGAGGCAGATGGCCAGAGGCCCATCTGCCTCATGGTGCAAAGAGAGGACTGCATGTCCCTGTCTTGGTGCGTTCAGGTAGAGAGCAAGTCTTCACTCAAAGAGAGAGAGAGGAGGAGGAGGAAAGGGAAGTTTATCCCTGAGAACACCAGGGCTATTTTTGGGCAGGAACGCACAGGAACGGAGTTCCAGCTGGCTCCCAAGTTGGCCACGCCCAGCATAATAGGCCACACCCAGCAGCAGAAACTCATTAGGATTGGCTACATTAGGGGTGTGTAGTCTAACATGCAAAGGAGTTCCTGCTACAAAAAAAGGCCCTGGGTTTTGACAACAAACAAGGTAAACAGAATAAGAAGCAAAAGGTGGGTGTGGCTGGATAACCACACTTCTGGTAACATGGGGGTGCGGCCTAATGTGCTAATGAGCTGTGCTGTCAGAGGTGTGGCCTAATAGGCTAATGAGTTCCTGCTGTTGGGTGTGGCCTATTATGCTAATGAGTTCCTGCTGGGCTTTTTCTACAAAAAGAGCCCAGGAGAACACAATCTACATTTCAAAGAGGACAGTGAGAGAAGAGTAGATACAGGAAGAAAGGTCAGTTTGCCTGTCTAGCTATCTAGTCTCTCTTGCCACTCAGGGGACCTCACATCTGAACTTCCAACAGATGGCAGCAAAGAAATGTTACTACTCTACTACTATAGCATCAGCTATCTCACAACTATTGCAGTTGTCTAAGGTAGCTCAGCAACTGCTGATACCAAAATCTGAGCCTTTATTGTCTCAAGAGATAATTAAGTGATATATTTGCCAAGGGTTTTTTTGCTGATAAAATATTGACCACCTGGTCTATTCATGGATCATTTTATCCCATTTTCTGTGATAGATGTGCACAATATGCTGGTTTTGGTGAATGCCACTATTTGTACTCTGGATCATTGTCCATCCTGGCTGCTAAAATCATGTAAGGACCACACCAACAAACCTTTAGTATCTGTTATAAATGAGTCACCCAACTGAATGCAGATTTCCAGAGAACAGCAAGGAGAGATAAGGAGGCCTTCCTGAATGAACAATGCAAAGTAATAGAGGAAAATAATAGAATGGGAAGGACTAGAGATCTCTTCAAGAAAATTGGAGAAATCAAGGGAGCGTTCCATGCAAAGGCTGTCTGGCTGAACCAGTTCGCACGGGGAAAAGAGCGCCTCCCTTATGTTACCCACGGTAGCTAAGCAAAGCAAGCAAGTGCGGCTGCGCAAACGTCAGGGACGAAAGAAAACAAAGAAAGCATGGCAGCTAGCTGACACCCGTCCACTACTTTAAAAGCCATCCCTACAGAAAAATGATGTGGCCAGTTATCACTGACTGGTTTCTAACCTGCCCTTTTTGGCAAATGATTGAGAGAGCAGTAGCGGACCAACTCCAGGTCTTCTTGGTTTACTCATCCACTCTAGACCTTTTCAGCCTGGCTTCAGGCTGGTCTACAGGACAGAGATGGCTCTGCTAGCTTTAGTGGACAACCTCTGTTCGAGTGTAGACAAATGCCATGCCCTTTGTTGCTCTTGGAGCTGCGGTGGCTCAAGTGGTTAAGACGCTGAACTGCAGGCTGTGGAATGTCAGTAGTTCAGCAGTTCGAGACCCAGGTGCCGCAAGACGGAGTGAGCTCCCGTCTCTAGTTCCAGCTCCTGCCAACCGAGCAGTTCGAAAGCAAGAAATTGCAAGTAGATCAATAGGTAACACTTTGGTGGGAAGGTAACAGCGTTCCATGCGCCTTGGTGTTTAGTCATGCCGGCCACATGACCACGGAAACGTCTTCGGACAGCGCTGGCTCTTCGGCTTTGAAACGGAGATGAGCACCACAACCCTAGAGTCGGATTCGACTGGCTTTCAAGCAAGGGAACCTTTACCTTGTTGCTCTTATTGGACTTATGTGCAGCCTTTGATGCAGTTGAGGCGCCTAGAGGCAGCAGGTATCAGGGGGATGCGCACTGAACCAGTTTAAATAATTCCTCACGGATTGGACTCAGGTTGCTGTTGGAGACCAATTGTCATCACTGTGAGACTTATCCTGTGGAGATCTACAGGGAACTACTCTATCCTCCATGCTTTTCAATCTCTAGGTAAAGCCCTTAGGACATATTTAGCTTTGGGGGTTGGTTGTCATCAATATGCAGACGATACCCACCTCTGTATATCCTTATCCAAATCTCCTGGTGATGCAGCAGAGATCCTGAATAGCTCCCTGGCTGCAGTGGTAAACTGGCTAAGAGTGAACACATTGAAACTAAACCCTGAAAAGACAGAGGTAATGCTGGTTGGGAAGGTGGAGATCTTAAAGGATACTGTGCTTCCCGCTTTTGATGGAGTTCCGCTGACCCTTGCTGACTCAGTTAAGAGCCTTGGGGCTATACTAGACCTGATGTTATTGCAGGAGAAACAAGGTAATGCAGCTGCAAAAAAAAAGGACTCTGTCTAGCCCACAAAGCCCCCTTAGCATGATATATCTGATCTGGCCCCCAGGGTCCATGCCATAGTAACATCAAGAGCAGGTGACTATGTTTTACCGCACACTGGCCTCCCCTCAAAGTCATTTCAGAAATTGCAGTTGGTGCAGAAGGTCATGGCTTGGCTATTATCAGAAGCTAGATGGAGAGCTGTGGTGGCTCAAGTGGTTAAGATGCTGAACTGCAGGCTGTGGAAGGTCGGTAGTTCAGCAGTTTGAGACCCGAGTGTGCCGCATGACGGAGTGAGCTCCTGTCTCTAGTTCCAGCTCCTGCCAACCTAGCAGTTCAAAAGCAAGAAATTGCCAGATATGGAAACCTGGGAATATTTGTGGAAAAATTCTATTAAGATCTCGACATGTACTAATGTTAAAGAAAACTGTTATAAGATGATGTATAGGTGGTACATGACACCTAAGAAAATTGCAAATATGAATCAAAATATGTCAAACAAATGCTGGAAATGTAAGAGGCATGAGGGCTCATTTTATCATATGTGGTGGACTTGTGAGAAAGCTGTAGACTTTTGGACAAAAGTCCACAATGAAATGCAAAAAATACTGAAATGTTCTTTTAAAAAAGCACCGGAAATTCTGCTTTTGGGACTCAAAATGGAAGAAGTCAATACGACTAAAAAAACTTTACTCTGGTACCTGATAGTGACAGCGAGAATGTAAATGTCAGGGACAAAAGAAAACAAAGCATGGCAGCTAGCTCACACCCATCCACTACTTTAAAAGCCATCCCTACAGAAAGATGATGTGGCCAGTTATCACTGACTGGTTTCTAACCTGCCCTTTTTAGCAAATGATTGAGAGCAGTAGCGGACCAACTCCAGGTCTTCTTGGTTTACTCATCCACTCTAGACCTTTTCAGCCTGGCTTCAGGCTGGTCTACAGGACAGAGATGGCTCTGCTAGCTTTAGTGGACAACCTCTGTTCGAGTGTAGACAAATGCCATGCCCTTTGTTGCTCTTGGAGCTGCGGTGGCTCAAGTGGTTAAGACGCTGAACTGCAGGCTGTGGAATGTCAGTAGTTCAGCAGTTCGAGACCCAGGTGCCGCAAGACGGAGTGAGCTCCCGTCTCTAGTTCCAGCTCCTGCCAACCTAGCAGTTCGAAAGCAAAAAATGGCAAGTAGATAAATAGGTACCACTTTGGTGGGAAGGTAACAGCGTTCCGTGCGCCTTGGTGTTTAGTCATGCCGGCCACATGACCACGGAAACGTCTTCGGACAGCGCTGGCTCTTCGGCTTTGAAACGGAGATGAGCACCACAACCCTAGAGTCGGATTCGACTGGCTTTCAAGCAAGGGAACCTTTACCTTTACCTTTAGAACTCAAGCTAATGCAGAACTTAATACATAACAATCTCTCCGTCTCTCTCTCACACACTGTGGGGATCTGATGAGGGCTAGCAGATCTGCCCTGTAGTAGTGCCGCTCTGCTTCCATCCAAGCTCTGCCACTTCAGTGGTAATGCTTCAGTGGGAAGGAAACAGCGTTCCGTGCTCCTTGGTGTTTAGTCATGCCGGCCACATGACCACGGAAACGTCTTCGGACAGCGCTGGCTCTTTGGCTTTGAAACGGAGATGAGTACCGCAACCCTAGAGTCGGATTCGAGCAAGGGAACCTTTACCTTTAGATGGAGAACATGCATATGACTCCCATCCTAAAGGCAGTTCACCGGCTGCCCATCAGTTACCTGGTTCAATTTAAGATATTAGCTATCACACACAAAGCCCTTTATGGCCTTGGACCCTCGTATTTGTAAGACTCTCTTCCTTTGCTCCACCACAACAGCTTTGCTCATCAGAGGAGGGTCTTGTGTGGGTGTTAACCTAGAAATGGGCAAAATCAACCACTGTCCATCCATATGCCTTCGCCGTTGTGCCCCCACCCTATGGAATGGCCTGCCTGAAGTCAGAAAGACTCCCACTCCATGAAACTGAATTATTCAAGAGGGCTTTTCTATGCAGACAATAAGCTGCACTGTACCGAATGATTCAGTTACTTGGATAAATGAGGAGGGACTGTGTATACTACTGCGTGTAGCTTCCTGAAA